CCATAGCCAGGAAGGGTGGACTGGTTGACCTCCTGTGGTAAGACGCCATTTTCACACACAAGTTACCAGTCAGTTCTTTAAAGGAAAATGATAATTAATGATATGAAAACCATTTTGCTTTGAAGACTGTTGTCTGACTTAATAAAGCATCATTTAAATCAAGTTAATAAGATGTTTAACATGGAAATACCAACAGAGTCCAAGTATTTGCAGAGTATTTAAAGCGTCTCAGCCAAAAAAGAAATAGTGGAAAAACAAGTTTTTAGTCATGGATGTTCTCACTTTCCTTTTTTAAATAAGAGAAACAAAAAGGACATGCGCTTAGTTAATTGCTCTACCATATAGAAAATGGCATTAAACTGAACAGCTTAACAATATTTTGTTCCTCAATGAGATTATTTCATTTTATGACAAATTAAAGTTCACAGGTTCAGGTCCTAGAAAACGGCCTTATGATCTGTTTTAGCTCCTCTTTCATGTCATTCGAATACGTCTGATCCCATAGACAGAATATTTTTTCTTTCTGAAAATGCACTCTCGATTGTACAGGGACGGAGGTTTAAAGCGCGAGAAGGTAAAAGATACCTTTAAAGAAGAGCAGCAAAAGTTGTACAGCAAAATGCTCGTAGGCACCCAAGAGGACCGCAGCCGCTCCTGAGGGTTCTCCCTGGACGTGGACTGACTCAGAGACCGCTCTGGACGCCGCAGGCTGAGCAGGCAGACGGCGGCGACCCGTCAGCAGGTGGAGCCGCTGCACCGGATTGCCCTCTCCTTGATGCCAACAATACTCCATTTGACTTCTCCAGTCACTGCCTCAGCCTGGCATGTCAAGTTGCATCACTGATGCGGGGTATCCGCCCAGCCCACCCCTTCACCGCCACGTTGGAATTAGCTCGATAAAAGCCTTGCTAGCTGTAGAGAAGGGAGGCCTGGCGTGAAGAGGAAGACTTCCTCTTGTCTTTTTTTTCTGTCGAGGAGGAAACAAATGGTCATCTGTATTTGACTTCTGTTTTTGTTTTGTTACACCTTGCTTTTAAAAAGCTTTATGGTGTCACCTTGCGTTGACGTTTCAGGACGCGTACCTGGAATGTAGAAAAGCGATAATGTAGTTTAAATCTAGCGTGTTTTTAATCTGATAACCTGAGGATGATTTGTTAAAAGGCCAGCGCCTACACTACAGGGCAAAACTTTGTTACATTCTAGATATTTTTGTGTGCTTTTTCTCCAGGGGGAAAGCAAAGCAAATCTTGTATGAGGAGCTTTTTAGTTTACATTATGACGTGCATCAACATGTGGTTTCGTGTCGGAGCAGGAAAGCATCCCGTTTGTTTGTTTTCCATGGAATGTGAGAGACCTCACAATATGAAGTGGAAACTGTCCACCTACAGCTGCGATCATGCAGGAATATTGATTTTTGAGCTCTTACTCCTCTTCAAGTCAATGCAGCAACACGGAGTAAAGGACAGCAGTCTTTTCATAAACCATTTGTTTTTATAGTTGTGCCTTAAAGGCTTACGGCACCAAGGTAACTGCATAGAATAAATAACCATGACAGAAACAATAGCTGTAAGAAACAATCAGCGGGTTCATATTCAAGTTACCTCCAACCAGACTTAGTTTTGTGCAGTTTCTGTATTACCTCATTTCAATAAAAAGCTAGGAAGGTTTTATCTATTTTTTCCTTTAAAATATGTTTGTATTATTGTTTTCTTCTTCCCCATACTTTGCAATCTCAATGAGGTCTCTAGACGGGACTGTAGCTGTAGTTGAGGCTTTGCATTAGACTGGGAGGTAGCATCGTGGGAACAGTCTTTTCTTCTTTTTTTTTTTTTTTTGCAGGTTTCTCCCTGAAACATTGAGCTGGTTAGCTTGACGTTAACAGGGACAGTCATTCAAATCCTGTCAAATCAGTTCATTGAACTAAATATTTAAGAACGGGAGTCAAGTCTTGACTTGTGGTTTGTTACAGCTGATCCTGCCAGAAAGGGCTGTTAAACATCATGAAATGTGTTGTATTTTTTATGATCATAATTATGTCATAAAAATAAACCTGTTAATCATGGGAATACTTGGAAAAGAAAAGTTTACTATTACCCGAGGCACTTATGTAAGGGATGACGTGTGCGTTCTCAATGTCATAATGTGTTGTAAGAGATGGATTATTAACCATTAAGCTACTTAAAAGTTCCGTATTAAAATCATTTTTTTCAACACTCCCACGTTTCAGAAATCTTTCTTCCTGAAAACTTAATTCTCAGTCTAAATTGGACATAGATTCAAATAAGGTTTTGAGAACATATTTCTCAAAACATGAGTTCTTATATAGGGTTCAGTATCATAATTAAACATTCAACCTATTAGTAATCAAATTTTTTAATTAAGAAAATAAAAAAGACAAACACAGACGTAAAATTAAAAGGAAATTCGGAGGGAAATTTAAAGTTAATATTCCGATTTTCTTCAGCTGATGATGCCCAGCAGCTTCTGATCCCAGAAAATGGACTGATCGTACGTCGTGACAGGGAGTACGTCTGGTCGGGTAAAATCCTCTTCACGGTCTAAAAACCAACAAGTCTTCTCTCTTGCTCTTGGCTGTCATGCAGCCAGAGGCAACACCCTGAGCCCATAAAAGCTGCTGGAGGTCGGGTCGTTCCCCTCTGTGGAGGCAAGAACCGAACCAACACAGAGAAAGAACTTTACAGTGAATAAAACCAAGAAAATCCAATTTGAACAAAGTTGATCCAAGTGCTGATTGGGCAGTTTCCTGGTTGAGTGTTTCATTTCCCCTGCTGTACATTTTTCACACTGACTCGGCATGAAGAATACACAGACGTTGCACCATTGCTGTGTCATTGGGCGTGAACTGGGGTGGAATGTTTGGCCACATCAAAAATGAAGTCCAAATACAATTCATACCCTTCTTTCAACACTTCTTTTGTTTACATCCTCAGAGAGAAAGAACTCCATATCAAAACTGACAAGAGTATCACCGTCTGGAGCAGACTTACTGCCATGAAGGAAATGGGGAAAAAATGGTTTAAAGTTGCCAGAACTGCATTTATTATTAATTAATACAATATTTCTTATGTACTATTTCTTTTTGTCGCTGCCCTTTTAAGCATTTCTTCTTCATGGCGTCGTCTAGGGGCATCGCAGTACGATTTGTCACACACTGACAGTTTGGTTATGATTCTGCTGAACATTTTTATGAATAAAATCTCCTTATATGGGCATGAGGTTTGTCCGGCATCCAGGCTTAACCGCCTTTAGCTGGATGTCCCAATCCGGCACTCTACACACGGCGGTATTGTTCTGCCATGTCTTTGTTTGCAACAGTTTCAAATAGATCTGTTGACGTTGATGAATGAAAGCACACTGTGCTTGGAGGAGGACTGAGCGGAAGCAGGAATGGATTCACTGTGTAACTCCTGCCATGATTTACGGCTCGGTAACAGAGCTATGGAAAGTCAGAGTCAGCCATCCAGCAGCCTCTGCTTTATGGCCTTTTACTCTGAACCACCGGATGGCACACATCCATTTACTAAACAGGGTTTTATAGCTTTTTACCCAATGGCCGGCGCTGGGTAAAAAGAAGCGACTATCCAAGACCGTCTCTTATCATCACATAGTTCACAGAAAAATAATTGGGTAAATTGGAAAAACAATTATGTTTCTCATGGCCCAATCAAATGTACATTTCTTGTTATGCAAGTTGTTTGAAATGTTTTTTCACACAACAGAGCTCAAAAATGGTTTCCAGTTCAGTGAGTGTGTGTTATGTAGAGAAACCAGTCCAGAATGCATTAAAGTGTTTTCAGATTCTCTTTGCTGTAATTATTTATGTAAGTGGCTCAAAAAATAGCAAAGTAAAATTACTTCTCGTTTGGTCAAGATGGCAATTTATGGAGGCAGAAGAACAAAACAAAAACATGCTACCCTTTCTTAGTACTTTGTGGGTTAGAGCATTAAAAAAAACAACAAATATTCAAGTTTCAAGTCAAACCACAAGATTTATATCTATATCCTTTACATGCAAATGTCCCCACAGTGCATTTCATAGTCATCCATAGTAGAATGTTTTAACAACTTTTCATGGTGGTAGAGGAATCATTATTTTAGTTTTTGCAGCAAATTGATTTGTGCTTCTTGCAGTAACAGCATTTTCCATAAGCACCATTCAGATATTCTGCAATATCTATATTTATAAGTTGAAGCAATTTTTTTTTCTTGCAAAACAAAATCTTACCAGTAGTTTTGCAGAAGCACTTCTTATTGCAATGACAGCTGCAAGTGTTTTGACCTATATCTCAAGTGTGGCACATTCTTCTTTTGCAAAGAAAAGAATAGGTCCATCACTGTCCACAGAGAGTGACTGAACATATATGTTCAGGTATCTTCACAGATTAAGTGTAGGCAATGCAAACACATAATTAAACCATTGCATCAGAGCTGTGGCTACATTTAGCTTCGTCCATCTTCAAATCAGCTTTGACCAGCTTCCCGGTTCACTCTCCAAATGAGGAGAGCGTGTTCAGAGTGTCAGTTTTCAGCCATACAAAGGATTTCACATGCAGGTAAAAAAAAATAAAAATAAAATAAAAATATATGGATATGTCTTACCAGAGCAAATGTTTGCTGTGTCCTCCACATGGCTTGTGGAAAACTTTTCAACCTGACATTTTGTGAGTTTGCATGGCATATTTGTGCAGTGCACCACGAATGTTTGTCCAGTCAGCAAACCCAGGTGGGAGACGTCAAAACTTGGTATTATGACGCAGCGGGATGCTTTCAGTCTCAATGAGACGTTTAAAATCCCGGTGACACGGAAACAGAAACACTTTTCACACAAACAGCATTTCGTTCCTCTTGATACACACTGACGTGTGCGTGGCTGTAGAATATGGCACGAGCATTTTTTTTTGGGTCACGTCAGGTTGTTTTTTTTTAAATTTCAAACTACTACGTCCTAGTTGCGCGAGGGCGGAGCGGCTGTCTAAACAACCTGTCGGCTTCCTCCGGGTCGTTGGAGAGAGAGAGAGAGCTTCTGAAGGCAGCGGAGCTGCTCCCTCCTGACTCTTTAGTCCCTTAAGAAGCTGCTAGTCCAATTAGCTCAGAGTTGGAGGGCGGGGGAGGGAATCCACGCAGTTAAACTGGAGACTCGGCTGGGAGCATGAGCCCGACCGAGGCGAGTGATGACGACCTGAACCGACTGCCCGCCATCAGCAGCAGCCGAGTTGGACCGCGAGCGGGGCTCACGTACTGAGATGATGATGATGGTGGCGTACTTCCAGCCGCAGCTGATATAAACTTAAGTTTTTTGTTGTTGTTTTTGCTCGCACTGCAAGCCTGTTCAAGTCCAAACAGAGGCGCTTACCGACGGCTCGGAAGTTTTCTTCTTTTTTTTTTTTACCCCACCCGGACGGTTCGTGAAAGTGGTCGGCTCAAACATGGACACGTTCACCAACGTGCTGCTCGTCACCGCGAACGTCGGCTCGCTCTTCAACAACGTGAGTATCCGGCAGAAAGGTAAAAACCTGCCGTTACGGGCGGATAACGCCACAACGGTAGCAAGAGCGGAGGATTGGATTAGGGCTCACGCCGAAACGAGTCACAGCAAGTTACAGGCAGGCTACTGTGAGGCGCGAGAGGTCTCTAGTGCTGACGTACACGTTGTGTGAGGGTCGGACAGGTGACATGTTGTCTTATCTTGTCGTTAAGTTGTTTATTGAACGTGTATGAACCCAGGCAGTGAGTCGTGTTTGTCACAGCCGCGCTCAGCGGTGTTCTTCCGCTATCTTGAGTAGCGTTATACGCTCGGCTACCTGCCGACGAGTCACGTGACCCGGTGCTTGACAAACGGACAAACGTTTTTGATCAAATGTTAGAGGCTTCAAAACTGCCGTCAGGATCCAAACAGAGCCTTCATATACCTTACAAATGCGGATGACTGTAAAAAGATGGATTGAAGTCAAACTCGTGAACCTCCCGTTGAAGCTGTTTGTGTTGTTGCTGTCCACATTTAAAGGTACATCGCAACACTTTAGGATGTAAATGAAGAGTTGATTTCAGTGATTCAGTTCAAAAAAGTGAAATTTGAGAAACTGAGTTTCAACCTTCTATTTCTATTAGAAGGTTGAAACTCTAATAGAGCTAGAGCTAATAAAAATCTTATAGCTGGCCTCTGTTCTGAAACTTTAAATATTGCGCATGACCAAAAAAAAAAAAAAAATGCTGTAAAGTATTTCTAAGTCTAGGATGTTTTCCTAGCAGCCTTCCGCTGGTCTATAGTGTTGGATCTGGTGTTTCTCATCTTCCTCTTGACAGAGCAGAGGATGTGTACTATGGATGAGTTTACTTGGAGCAGTAGCGCTCCAGTTGCTTTGACAGCTTTGTTATGTGGAACCTTTGTTGGAAATAATACCATTACTGAAGTCTTTGCAAGTTTGTCAACTTCAGTTTGTTTAAAAGTGCTCTATGGTTTGTTGAGGTGATTACTGCTGTATGATGAAAGGAGTCTCCCGCTTCGCTGTGATCATCATTGGAGAGGTTGGTTCGCCCTTCATTCAGGTTACAGCAGGACCAAGTTTTGACTGAAGGAGGGCTGACCTTTCATCATTTCTGATTCTGATAAATAAAAGTTTATCAATGTGTACAGAGCTTCTTCCTGACACGTAGTATAGACTCTCTGTTGGTCAGTGTGATGTCCTATCAAGCAGAGTAATATTGTTGTCATTAAATTAGCATTGGTACTTTTTGCATGCACCAATACTTGTAAAAATTATCAATATTTCTACCTTCTGTAGGAGGTTCAAAGTCCTACAGTACGATGAAAGCAGCAGACGGCTATGTTGCCTTTGGATTTGAGAAACAGTGCTGGACCAACACTAGTAATTTGTCTCAAGGTTGCAGAGTGCACTCTAACTGGTTGCACATGAGACCTAATTTGTAAGTGTTTTGCCTAAGAAAAAAATTTTGAGTTTGCACCAGTGGGACCACTTACCCCAGGAAAAAGAAAATGCAGAACCCTATGACTTCCACAATGCAGAAAACAGCAACAAGAATCTTGAAATTCAACAAGCAAAATGGAAAGAGATTTCCATTTACCAGTAATTCTCACAATGAGCAGGGATGTTGATACAGTAGTTTCTATGGTCTTTCAGCTGCTGCAACTCTCATACATGTTGTAACTGGTTAAGAAGGGCTTGGCTCAGCTCTGCTGTCCTCTTCACACAGACAGAAACAACGTCAGACATGGTAAACGGTGTAAAAAGTTAGTCTGTACCTTTGGGTCCAGCTCCCCAAGTCGGCACCGAATGTAGAAACTTCACACTGTACCTCAAACATTTGGGGACTCTCTTCCTCTTCACTTTAACTTAATTTCTAAATGTAACACAAAATGTATGTTATTAAAAAGATAGGACTTTGGACCCCTTAGCTACAGTCCAGTGAGTTCAGTTCTTTTTCTCCAGTGGAAGTATGACGCTACTTTAGTTTATCTAGTTCACGTTTACATAAAAATAAAGCAACAGCTATAGCCCGTGTCCGTGATGTGTTTGTGTAAGATGGCTCTTAAAATGCCCTGTATGGCTTCACAGTTTATCCTTGTTGCTCATGCAACTGATCCTTCCACTCAACTTTCCATTAATATGGTTGGACAAAACAGCAGCCAACTTCTTCAAACATAAACTGTTTGTGGCTTGACTTGCTTGTGTTTGGTGTAAGGCATATTCATCTGCGTTAACAGAAATAAACACTTTAAATATATTACTGTTTGAATCTTCTTATATTGTCTTTGTTTTACTTTTTTTAATTGAATTCCTGGAATACGTTCTTATTCGAGGATATTCTAATTGATTGAGATGCAAATATAACTCAACCAGAAGTAAGCACTGGTTAAGTAAAGGTCATGACATACTTTAAATACACAAAGTTTACTTTATTTTAATATTGGACTACGCATAGAGATTTGTGTACATGGAACAGGACTGCACAATATTTGCAAGAAAATTTATTTTGCTATTGTGACACTAAAAACACTGAAAATTGTTTATCTCAAATGACCCATTTTTCTCACTTTTCTAGTTTTTTTTCCATCGTTACTATATCCCAAGCACTCTCCTTGAACTTTACCGTCTTGGCATATATCAGGTGAGCCTAAAAAAACAGAGAAAGACCATCTAGCCAGCCAAATATACAAGTTATTGACAATTTCATGCAATTTATATGCTTGAAATAAAACAAATCCACACCAAATACTGCATCCTTGCAATCCTTTGTGATTGCAGCTACTTAAAAGAAGAGTTTATTATTTAATGACGCATGTGTCCTCAGTAGTTTTAAGTCGTAGAGATCAATGAAGGTCAACACTGATCCTGTGAGTTGTAGGCCACAGTATTTTGTGGCCGCTTGAGCATCATGTTTTGGGAATATGTATTTTACTATGTTTTTGGGCACATTTATCTCATATCTGGGATCATGGGGTCAGCTTGTAGAGGTCATGTTGCCTTATGCTGAACATGAAATGCTACTGAACAAGACAGAAACTCCAGTAAGTCAGAAGCATCAGGGTCCCAGACAGACTTGATTAACATGAGGGAGTGACCAGCCCAAAACCCAGGTCTTAGAAAACTTTGTCATTTTGTATTTGGTCTCTCACACGACATTATTTATATTTCTAAATAGTTGTGCACGTTGCCACATTTAGATCAACTTCGAGGCTCCAGTCTGTTATAAAACGTATGTAGATATCCATTACTCTCCCTTGTTTCTGCCTGGGCTGGCTGGGTGAAACAGTCAGACTTAGCAGGAAGGAGGGCGCTTGCAGTCATGGAAATTTGGCTCAGGACCATATTTCCGTTGAGCAAATTTAGGTCCAACAATTCTGTGTGAGATCCCACAGTGGGAAATGTATAAACAGATGAATATCTACTCTCCTAAGGGGAGTAGAGCCTTTCTACTTAACACAGGGCCCCTTCTGTTCTCATAAACAAACACTCTGAAACGTTGACTCAGGGTGAGAGAAGGATGTTAAGCAGACCACAGATTAAATCCTAATGCGCCACAGAAATGGACTTTAGGATCAGAGACACTCGCTGCTTCAGTAACACTGAAAAACAGACTTTGCTGCTCCTGTGGAAACGGAACTAGCGTGTCAAATTCTGGACTGCAGTGTTCATCTGCTCACGGGCTTTACTTTTTTTTAAATAATGAAGATTTGGAGACAAATCGAGTTTGTCAAGTGTTTATCTTCATTAGTGTGCAAACATGGCTGTGGTTGCAGGCAGAGTGCTGTGAGGTTTCCTACCTTTCACCTGCACTGGGCCTGTCATGCAAATGCACTATGCAAAGCCATTTCTGCAGTCATGACATTTATTTAACTGACCTCTGACTCACCAAAATATGTTTTGCAGCATCTGTGTAAGAAAATTCAAACTCAAGGTGAACATTTTTTTCCTCAGAGATATGTTACTGAAATACGGTGTTAAAAAAATGCAGTTTTGTTTTTATGCCAAAAGTTTAAACAGAATTTTACTAGCCTTAAAAAATACTTTAAAGGGAGAATCCCTCAAGCATTTTTGCAGCCATTGACGGAAAGTCTTTCTTTAACAGAATCTAATGGTAATTTTCCCACCTACGTCTCTACGTTTTGTTTCTCTGAACCCTCTTTGAAATATCAATCTGATGTTCACAAATGAATGATGGAAAGAAAAGAAAAAAAAGAACACTATTTATATTGAAACACCTTCTGAATCAACTGCAACCTTTCATGTCTTGGGTTAACATCTGCCATCATTTTTCAACAAAAACTGCATAATGTTTCAATTTTATCTAAGAAATGCATAAATGAAACAACTCTACAAGTTTGTTAACATTGCAGTAATTTCAACTCGTAACTTGCGTTAGTTAGAGATGAACCTTCTGAGCCGGGTACAAAACAGGCCACAAACTTATTATAGCTGCCGGTGTTATCTGCAGATGTGCAGTTAATACACGCAAAGTGGTGTCACGCTTCTATAATCTGTCAATCACACAGTCTTACTTTGACTTTCTTCATTTTGTAAAGAAAATAATTGTTACCTTTTTTGTAGTCACATTTTGAAATGCATTTTTTTTATTCATGTTTTACTTGAACAGGAGAACCTCAAATTAATTTGGAAGAGTGAAATTATTTTTGCTGAGTCAAATTGCGTAATGACCTGCTGTTTTAACAGGGTCAGGCCTCTTTTTCAGGCCCTCTTTTTCAGTACAACAATCCACAAATGGGTATGTTAGGAGCTTTTAAAAATTAAATACTAAGAGTTTTGAATAATAAATGTTTTTCCCAGAAATTTTTTGACACTGAAAACTTTCCCTTTTTGTTGTTTGGCATTTCTTTTGCTACAAATTCGTTTATTAGTTATAGGAATAAAAGTTTGTTTGTTTTTTAACAGGCACCCATATCACCTGGACCTGACCAAGAAAAGTTTAATATAAAACATTACTTGTTTAGCAAAACCTAAAAGGGTAAACATAACAGCAGCCAGAGGCTACCATTGATCACTAAAATGTGATGCAGCCTGTATTAAATGAGCAGTTTTGTCAGTTTTTTTTTATTGGGCCGTTGCAATGAAAGTGAGTTTCTATATAATATTATTGAGAAAACGGATCCTTAAACAACTCATTGAAGCAGGCGCTCAGGCAATGCAGCGATGACCAAACAACCTGCAGTGACACAAACAAAGATGCATTCACGACTGAAAAACATTCAAAACAGCTGCTAATCTTTCCTGGAATAGATTCCCCATCTGGTTTCCGTGAGTGAGAAAAGGCTGTGCAGAACAACCATACATCTCAAATGTAAAATATTTCATTTAGCGTTTGAAGAGTAAAAGGTCACGACACTATGATTTGAAAAAACACACACACAAAACGCTGAGTGCACAACAAACTGGACACCGATTTCTGAAGATTTTAGTGATTAAAGTGCTCAGTTTAAAATGTTCTATTCACAGAATCCAAATTATAGACAATAGTCCAATGATTTCACTGTTTTTTTTTTTTAGGAGCATCTTTACTTGAAATGGCCATCCATTGAAACAATTGGCAAATAAAATTTTTAATTCTGGAAAGCTGCATATGAAAAATGTTTAGCACATCCAGAATAACATTTTTTTGAGCAAAGTAGAGATATTTATCTCTAATGCACAAAGGATATTTTGATGAAAATCAACACTAGTTGCTATTAAAACCTATCAAGCACGGTGGTGGAAACTCTATGATTTGGACTTGGGGGATTTATGCTCAGTAGATGCACTATCAGTATCTTGGGTGAGTAAAACTGAAGCAACACGTTAGCAAGAGTTTCCACTGAAACGCACATGAAGAAGACAGAAACTGCTAGTTGTTGCTGCTGGAGCTGCTTTTGTAATCCGTCGAGTCAGGTTGTGATTCTGCATTTTGGTTTTGTTTAAAAACAATTAACCACAGATAAAAACCGCACCAAGTCTGGATTCACTGCTTATTATTCATATGAGATTATGGTTGTATTACCCAAATGATTGTCGGACACATTTCAAGTCATACTGTACATGGTTTTAAACTATGTATGCTATGTGTTTTATGATGGGATGTAAGTGTTGATTTTGATCAATTATTTGATGATGTATCTAAAAAGAAAGTGAAAGAATTTTGTTCTGTTTGATTCAGTTTTTGTTTTCGGTTTCCTTTGCTTCTTTAAGCTATGTTGTGATTTCTTTCTGTAACACAAATAGAAGATTTAGATTTTTAGGCATGCATGAAAGTATATTTGTTTGCTTCTTAATGGGATGTGGACAGAATATGAGGCATATAGTCTCTATTTGACATTGATTGAAACTGTTGAATCAGTGACTGATTATTAGTCAAATGATTTAACTTTTTTCTGTTTTATTTTTTTTCCATTCATTTCAAAGGTGGATGAAATCCAAAATGGATGGTTAGAAGAACTGTATAAGGTAAGTTTGAACACTTTACATTCGCATTAGTAGAGCTCTCTCTGTTCTAACATATGACATTTTTATGTGGGCGATCTCATCCAGCTAAAAAAATTACAATCTTTGCTAATTCTGTCCCACTTTTGTCGCTCTTCCAAATATGGAAAAAAAAAGTAAGACCTCTGATGAGTTGTGATGGTCGGCCTTAAAGCAACTGTGACCATCTTCACACGGCAGCACTCTATAATGTGAGATTGAACATTAGACTTTAATGGTTTTGAAACAGACAGTCCGGAAGTACAAGCCGCAGTTCATCGCCCTGCACTTCCAGGAGGTGGGAGGAAAGGACTACATGGTCAACATGGACAAGGCAGAAAACTTCTTTTGGTAAATAAAAACACTACTAAAAAAGTAACCACAATGACCGGGTGGTTGCGCTGCATTGCATCTGAGCCAATTCATTTCCCTTCCTCTTCCTAGTAACATAGAGTCCAGTGAGGAAATGAAGGAGTTTGACAGGTCTTGCATTTATGTGGACACCCAGTTCCAAGCGGAAGACAGCTTTACGGTAAGAAACCTGTGGAGATATTCCAATATTCTTCCACAAGATGGCGCTCTCCTCCACATAATGGTGGCCTCAGCAACAGACGTGAGGCACTCTGATGCTTGATAGGAAGGAGTCTGCAGCAGATGTTTGCTGATGCTAATGTAAATGCAACCATTTGACTGTGTGATAAGGTCATGTCAATGTTAGGAGGGCATTTTTAAAAACATTGAAAGCATGCTTTGTTTGCTGCTTTTTAGCTATTTTAATAAATATAGATTGCCTAACAGTGTGAATTCACCAAGCGCAATAATGAACTCCGGCGGCTTACAACCTTTAATGACATATTGCAGGTGCACCCTTTTTAGGAAATCCGATTTCTTATACGCTTTTTCTGTTTGCTCACCTTTTTTTCCTTCAGCAGAACTTCATACGTCAAAGCTTCCGTGCAATATGAGCAGCGTTCATAATCCCAGCCTTTTGTATGGGACATGGATCTTCTAGATATAGTATAGAACAATGTTGGAGTTGTAACGCGGTGCAGGCACAGAGAGATGAGAGGCCCTCAAAGACAGATTTGTTTGGTCAGCTGTGATGCTTTCATTTACTGGACCAAGAATTTCTGTCCATAGCTGCCGTCTGCAGTGCTGTTATGGAGCTGTGAGCAGGTATGAGCGGGTCAGTGCAATCAAGCCGTAGTTCATACAAAGTTATACTTTCAAAACTCCAAAAAATCTTTAGCTGCAATATTCTTGTTGATTGCACATCACCATGAAATATGGTGGTGACTGCAGAATGTAATCTGATGTTGCCTTTCTTACGATAGAACTGGAGTGTTTGGTGAATGAAACTTTGAACAGCTCCAAATGTCATTCAGTCAATATGTCCATGATTCATTTTATTTTAATGGCATGTACAATAATTTCTGTTATACATTTTTGCTGAAAAAATATTTCTATAAATTCAGAGATAGCATATTACATTACTATTATTTTCTCCAGATTGTTGTACCATGCAAACGTCACTTCTTGCTGTGCAGTTGATGTTCAGGTCATAGAACATCAGCCTTAGTCTCCACACTGGTCATGCAGGTCATTTCTTGCATCCACCCTTTTTCTTAACCTCATGTTTCACTAATCAGCTTCAGGCTGTGCTTGCAGTTGGCTGTAATGGGGTTTGTCAAAGTTTCACTCCTGGTAGGGCCTTTCCTATACAGAAAAGTATCTTCAAATATTAACCCTTCCTCCTCCCAGGTGAAACCCTCACACAGCGTGCCTGACAGTAGGGGTCAATGTCTGCATTTGTAGACTGAAGGTGTGTGAAGCCAAAAGCGGGGGAAAGTCAATGGCCAGGTGCGAGAGAGAGACGGGCCAAAGTCAATACATTTAACTCTAGATTAAAACTATTGATCCCAGGCTATCTGTACACGATAAATTAAGCGTCGGGGGGTGGCGGTGGACAGCTGGGACTAAGTTTTCCTCTGGACTCGAGTGTTTGCACCCTTCTCTGTTTGCCCTGAGAGAGTTGCAGCCCCTCTCCCCGACCACCGCCCCACGTAATGCCTCATTCTCATTTCGGCGGTGCCACCCGCATTGATTTTCAATTTGTTTCCCCCTGGCTACAGATCATCAGTTATAAAGCCAAGAGAGAGAGCTTAGTAGGGGTGGAGGGGCTCTCTTTTCTCAGGGGCTGCAGACGTAGAGGGGCATGCATCCCCAGTACAAATGGTGTTTTGATAAAAAATCACTTGAAAGTCAATATTTTTTTATTAAACTGTGCACAAACTTGATTGATGAAGATGGGTGTTTGGCCAACTACGTGAAGGTGTTTGTGTGTGCCTAACTGTGCGTAACACTGCTACTAATCGCACATGAATTGGGCTTCCCTACAGGAATCTCTGGAGAGGAACTTTACCTGACAGTCAAACTTTTTTTTTTCCTTCGTAGAAACATTTCAACTCCTGCAGATCTGTTCCAGTAATTTCCTCCGTCGCTCTAGGTCAGACAAGTCGGTCACTAACGGTTGTTCACTGAAGCCGTCAATGGAGACACCTCTGTTTTAATAAATGAGGATGACTGTGGCATCGAAGATAAACGATGTCTTCAGGGAGAGATCTCTCATGCTCTGACTGATCGTCGGTGTGTATGTGTGCGCAGGCCAGCTCTCCGTCACGACCTTACCCCCTCCGTGCGCTCGCTTATTTTTCTCTCGGCTCCCTCTTAGAGCGCCAGCGTTGGCAGACAGCAAGCCCACTGCTTAATACCTTTTAAATGGTTTTAATTTTCTGTCTTTATTGATTTCACAGGCCATGATTAATCAGATCAGTGGAGCAGGCAGTTAGTACATTAAAAATTGTCAGCTCCATGTCAGGGATGATTGGGCGCTGAAGTGTGCACACTGAAAGTGGCTCTGCTGAACGTTTTTATTGTTAAAAGTTTCACGTGGTTTTTATTTGCACAGTAGAAAAACTTAAGTGGATAGCTGGAAGATAAGGCTTTTGCTATCTGTAATAAACAGTCGGTCCTTGAGACTAGCCATGTGTTTGTGTCTAAATTTAGTTTTAGTTTCATTTTGAGACACTGCTTTTGATTTCTTTGAAATGCAGACTTGAATATAAAGCGTTAGGCACGTGTTCGTTTACAGGTATGCGTATTATGATTTGCAGGCTGCAGTGTCAGGATGCCTGCAATAGATTTATAAAACTACAATGCACTGGTGTGGATAAGTTTGTCAAAGAGTTGCGTATTCTGCAGTAGCATAATCTCACACTGAAACTCATAGAAAATTCCAACTGTTAATTTAATTAATCTTTTCAATGGACATAAAATATATCCCAATAAGAACTTTTTTTTTTTTAATCAAAATAACCAGGTGTACAATTGTTAATACCCGAACTGTCAATACTGTAACAACAGTACAAAACTTTGTTTCCTATAATGCTTCAAAATGTTGAACCATAGATTGAGCCATCTTTGACCATTAAACTATCTCTCTTATCATCCAAAACCATGTGTCAACTTGTATACTCTCTTCATTTTACCCTATAGGTTTTCTGTAAGGTTTTGATTTAGGAACTTGTTCGGACTTGACTAGAAACACCCAAGTCAGTGCTTCTACACACCTGCTTTAAAAGAAACCTGCTGATGGAGCAAGAAATGTCTCCTTTTCATGTTTACATCGACCCAGCCCATGACACTTATGTTAGGAAGTAGTTAAAATATTCCCCTACAAAACCTTTTTCAATTACTGCTGTTTTTTTATTATTATTATTGTTATTAGTTTGGAAACAAATATGCCCTGTTGTGTTGTTAGATGTTATCCATGCTGTTTGTAAGTAAGACCAAGAAATGTTAGACCCAACAGTCTCTTTTGAAAAAGAAAACTATTTTATTCCATTTTTTGATATTTTGTTGCCAGAGTGTTAAGAAAGACTAACAAATTTTCCCCAAAATATGAGACTCAAAGAGTGTATTTCCTGTTTTTGTTCTTATGATGCTTCTTTCAAAGTGATACTATACTGCTTTAATATCTGTAGCTTTTTGGGATTAAACCAATGTCATGAGTTTAACTACACACTGTAATAGTTATTGGTATGGTAAATGTTTTAAATGAACAAATGTTGTTTTTTTTAATCACATGTAACAATAATTAGTGTCAAACATGAGGTATTGCTACATTTTGAATTAGTCATTGCAGAAGTCGGTTGCAAAAATGTTAAATTGTTTTAAACATGCTTGCCTTAAATACTACAATAGGTAACTAACCTGCTGATGGAGGTTAGTTACCTATAGTCACCTAAATTATTTTACAACTAAATTATTATTTTAAAAAAAAAAAGTAATTTAACAAGGTTTTTTTTACTTAATCAGTTTGTGAATACTTTATCGGATATTGAACACCATCTGTCTGTTTTTTTTCTCCATAGGCTTTGGGCAGCATGTACTTCATCCACAAGACACTGAAAAATATCTATCATTATGACTTTAATGGTAAGAAATCCTTAAAGTCTGAAAGTTGCATTCATTTTTATTGGTTTATAATGAATCAGGTTGTGACGAATATTTCTGCGTTTTTGGTTTTTCACCAAACATTTCTTTTTAAAATGAATGATTAAAATCTAACTGGCAGCAGTGTAGCCCTCCGCTTTGATCAATTGCTCCCACCCCATGGTGGACCAGTTTGCTGTTGCATATGATTGGTAAAATTCCTGTCATTTTTCATTGGATATTTTAAGATGTTTCTGTGTAATGAGAGTTTGATGGCTCTACTGCCTAGGCAGGTATTTGCAAAGTGCTCAAATTTAAAGTGGAGCTGTTATTTTGGCTGCTGTGTAGTCCAGTCACGTTAGGTGTGAAAAAGCTTGGCAGAAAAGCTTATGGAAGAGCCATAAACATCCTGGAGCTGCCACTTGCTGTGTGGCCCGAACCGATCGTCGTCGGCCAAACGTAGTCTAATGGCTCCCGCTTATAGATTCCCTCATCACGTATGCCGCTCTGATGAGGTTAACACCAGTTTATTGATCGCTGTTTGCATGTTTTCTCGCTCTTTTCCATGTCACCGCCCTCGGTCTGCCTCCCCCCCCCGAACCCTACTGCTCCCAGTTAAGGATTTTAAAGCCGTGGTGGGACAGACCAAGTACGTGGGCTCACTGGACGGCGTCGCCACCGTGGAGAAAGAAAAATTCCCAAAGAATTTCTGGCCCGATGTAAGTCTGTATGTAAGACGAGGGGGATGCTAACAGGAAGAAGGGAGATGCTGGAAAAATGAGTCCACTGGGGCTGCTGACACAGAGATGAGACAAATTATCTGCAAGAATCAATAATTATCAGTTTGGCACTTTAAAGACATGGCTCCCTGGTGTTTAGCGATTCTCTCTCATTTGTCTCTGTTGCAGTTCAAGTGGTCCAGAAAGGGCTACATGAGGACCCGATGGCTCATACACAACCAGTACGTAACCCTCAGAAATAGTGAAATGCTTTATTTTTTGATAAATTATAATGTCATGTTTTAAGAGAGTTTTAACACTTGTATTTAGTACCTTTTTGTGATCTCTGGTTTAATATGTAGGCCAGTGTTTGATACATTCATAGGAGAGACAGGATGGAAAGCAGAGATTCAATAATCATCGTTTATATAACCCCGTCTTAGCTTTTGGGGAGAACAGAACATGTAATTGTTTTCACAAACATTTAGGGAGCACAATGATTTTTTTTCTTAAAAACACAACAGAGTTAAAGAGCTGATACACAATATGGCTTTGTGTAAAAAAAAAAAAAAATTTTAAATCACTGATTCTGACTGATGAAAGAATCTTTTTCTGTCAGTAACAGCTTTAAAATGAAGAGTGTTGTTGCTAAGTGAGTTTCCACACAGTCTTTGAAAGTCTGCAAAAGGTTTGCGTTTTATTTGATCTTTTTTATTTTTCAAGTTTGGGGGAAAAAAATTCAGCTATGGAATTAACTATGTAAAAGTTTTTTTTGTACTATGCAGCCTAGAATTTAAAAAACACAATTGTGAAATTCTGAAACTTAAAAAGGTTTTTTTTTTTTATTGAGGTTATATTTAATTGACTTCAACAGTCTTGGATTTTTCACTGTAGCTTAAAATTTTGACCAAAGCACTGATCAGTAAGATTTTTTTAGACACTGATGGGAAACACAAAGATAAAATATAAAACCTACATAGGTCAACAACTTCAAAATGTGAAATGAGGCAAATTTACAGCTTGTTGGCCTCTTGGATCAAGCTCTTATACTGGGTCTTGTTAAACGCCAAATAATCAAAGCTTTCAGAAAACTTGTTTTGAAAGACTTATGAGTTACAGATTGAAAAGTAGCTCATCTAAATTGATCTTTATTGCTCATTAAATTGGAAATCTTATGAGCAAGCTTTCCAGTCTGTCAGATGCCTCCCATAGCTACATCATAAACATTTATCACGATAATTGTAAAAATGAAACTGAAATGTAGTCTGCAATAGTGTATTTATGTTCACTCTGGTTTTGGAGTTTGATGAAATAAGGCACCAAGCAGTTCTTGTACCTTTTCCTTCTGCATCATGGCACCCTGAATCCTCTCTGAAGGCAAAAGTTCAAGTTTATTGCTCTACAGTTTAATCTATGAAGATTCTGTTTTTTGCACAACTTGGTGAATTTGTTCTGCACTGAATGGCCAACCATTTTGGAAAAAAAAAGTATTGAAATATTCCACTTGTATATAATAAATCTGAGTTTCCATTTCTGAAATGAGTGATTAAGAATATGTTTCATATATTGAGATGTACTTGTAAATATAAATTGATTCATTCATAAATATAATTATTCCCCTTAACCTGGAATTCAACTTTGTTCCATGTAGTTTTTATCACCACATCACAAATAAAGTTGACTTTAACTGTTGAACAGATAAAAAAATGTTAATGCTTGTTTCAAAATTCCAACAGAATTCTCTGTCATTTCTTATTAATCGTAGCTCAGTAACATCTTATCAACAAAATCATATTTTCATCACTCCTTTTTAGTGTTTGTGTTGTTTTCACAAGGTTATAAAACATGGCACATTTTCATACATTTTCCATCTTCAAATTTAAACCTTGAACAGTTCCTGCAGTTACAATTATTGACTGAAGATTGTATAAACCTGGTCCTTTTATTGAACCAGGTTTATCATCTGCCATTACTCACAGACTTTCCCTCAGCTAGATAAAAGATAAACAAAGGTTCAGTTATGGTGTTACATTGTGAGGCAATAGTTATGACAAGAATTTGATGCATATTTATTGGCTCAAGAGGCGCAAACTTCTGAGCTATCAGCAGTCTACACACTGACAGGAAAGTTGTAAAGTGACACCTGCGCGATCATGCATTCACGCTGCCATTGTTGCTCACACACACGTGTCATCTTATCTGATATCAAACTGTTTCTTTTCCTTTGTTTTTTTCGTCCGGCGCATTTTGACGATGTCTGTGTTGCCCGCAGGGGTCTAGACCTGGTCAACATCCACCTCTTCCACGATGCCTCAAACCTTATTGCCCTCAACTCCACTCCCTCCATTTATTCAGCCAACCGCAAGAACGCTTTCAAATATGTCATCAACAGGTGAGATCAGCAGCTGTACAATTTGAACGGGCCTCCCAAACACATCAATGTGCCGGACACCTGGATTATTACAGATTCATAGATTGTATTTACTAATTAGGCAGTTTGGTAAAGTACTTGGTGACACCGGATTTTATTTACGGACGTAAGATTAAAGAGGTCTGTACACAAATGAATGAGACACACTTTTTAAATGTTTAGTTGTAATAAATGTTGAGAATAAAGCAGCATTGGACTTCCCTGTCACGCAATACTTTGTGTTGATCTGTCCCATAAAGTCCAAATCAAATACTTTATGTCCTTGCAAGATGAAAACAGCACATAGTTGTTACAGGCAACTGTATTCTTTTGTTCCAATTTAAAAACCAGAATATTTAAAGACTATATAAAATAAACCTTAACTTCTTGTGTTAAACAAATAAAAACATTGTTTGTCTTTTCTAGGTTATTAGACAGCCGCTACGCTGCTATGCCTTTCTTTCTGTTCGGAGATTTTAACTTCCGTTTGGACACACGTACATTAGTCCAGGTATGTTGTCATTTCATATATATATATATATATATACATATATATATATATTGACCAGCTTCATATTTGAACACGGACCCCCGCCCACTGCCTCTTATTTCTGCTTGTGTTGCTGTGGCCAGTGCCTGACCATCGAAGCAGATGTTGTGAAAGATGTGAAAGACAGCAATTACGAAGTGGAGAGAATCACATTTGAAGAAAGAGACAACGACCACCAGGTAAATTACAGCAGCCCGAAAGCAAAAACGCCGTCACCGGATTTGACCCAGACTGGCGTTCATGTTGCCCTTCCCTTCAGAAACTGCTGCAGATCGAGGAGAAGCTGTTTGAGTACGTGCACCAGGCTGTTTTCCGAGAGGACAATGGCAGAGCGGTAGGGACACATTCCAGACTTTCGCTCCATAAAAACAAGAAACTCAGGTTGTTGCAAAACTGTCGGATCTGTTCTCAAAGGTTTCAGATTGTGTCACACATAAACCCATATACACGCAAAAAAAACTTTGACTGTTCACTAGAATTTACCTGGAATTTTAAAAGTAGGCACGTTGCCTGTTTTTGTTTATTTCCCAGCTTTTAAAGTACGATAAAGAGGTCACACCCTTTCTTGACGCTGTCAGAGAAGAGGACATCACATTTCCACCCAGGTGAGAATAAATTTACCAAAACGGTAAACGATGATCTATAAAATCCTCTCCTGTTCTACCTGACAATCGAAATATGATTTTGTGGTCTCCTGTAGCTACCCCTACAGTGAGGACCACCACAAGCCGAGGCAGTACATGAACACACGCTGTCCTGCCTGGTGTGACCGCATCCTCATGTCTCCCACTGCCAACGATTTCATCAACAGGGTCAGATTGAACTGTCTGCATATTTCATTTTTACTCAGGAGACTCTTAATTGATAAATATTAGATTGTGTTCATTTTCTGTTTGTCTCAGAGAGATTACGATGGAGAGGGTGTCGTTTACAACACAATTGGTCCTAATGTCTGCATGGGAGACCATAAGGTATGCCTTTAACAAGCCATCTATTCTGGTCAGGCAGTAAATCAGCTGCAGAGTGACTCTTTGGTGTTTTTTGGTGTCCTGCAGCCCGTATTCCTGTCCTTCTCGCTGAAGACGAATAACCATTGACTCCGATCCTTCTCAATGGTAAGAATATCTATAAGTAAAGCGCCATGTGTGAGAATGCAGTGCTACCAGAGGGCAGATTTAGAAAGAGATTGTGGTAATCTCGTTCTTCTCTCTGGAGAGCCATAACCAAGCCAGCCCAGTGGAGTCAGAATATGAACTAAGATGAAGCACCTGCGGGACACGAGTGCTCCTTTTGTGTCTGGTGTAGTTGAAGCACAGGCGATCAGCACCTTCCACTGATCTATGTCTATTGAATCCTCTGGTCTCTCGCTGCGGCGACACATTAAGTGCATTGCACGACTTCTTTTCATTAATTACAATCTGGATGGCCGACTGGAGAGGCATTCATCCCACCTCAGCAGGATATTGGCATTTTTACGGCCATAATTTTGTTTTGCTGCTGTTTAAATTTATTTGTTTAAGGATGGACTGCTTTATCATGACGGTCTTTGTGTGTGTGTGTGTGTGTGTGTGTGTGTGTGTGTGTGTGTGTGTGTGTGTGTGTGTGTGTGTGTGTGTGTGTGTGTGTGTGTGTGTGTGTGTGTGTGTGTGTGTGTGTGGAGGGGCCACAAATAATGAATACCTCTCAGGGACGAATATCCTACAAAGATCTGTTGTTTCTTTTTGCTTTTTACATTTTGAGGGGACAATATAACCCCAGACTTAGTTTTTACAGTTTGATTGTAAAAACTTTGATTGCAAAGCACTGTGTGAAGGAATCCAGCGCTTCACCTTGAACTCACTGTGTCTGAGGTGAAACATAAAGTTTTGTTTTATTTAACCTGGAAGATCACATTGAGATTAAAAACATCATTCTTTCAAGATGCAGGCTGTGGAGGCTCTTTTCTTCAACAGGGACTGGGTGCTTCACATTTTTCAGATTTTTAAAATGCATTTACAACTGCATCAGTGAATTTTCACGTCACAGTTCTGTACTATTTTACGTTGGTCTGTCACAAAAACATCCCAATGAAACCCTGGTGTTCGTAGGAAGATTAATAGGGTTTAAATACCTTCGGAGGTAATATTTTGAATCAATAGCTACGATAGAAAGTTTAAAACCATACTGTGCATTTGTCTTGTCTGACTCTGCGTCTGTTCCAGGTGTTCAGCTGCACCCCCACAACTCAGCCACCCTGGACACCAGCATTATTCTCTTCCTCGTGAAGAACTCATGAAACCGTCTGCTTTCATACGTCATCTGATCTCTGAGCTGCAGCTTTCTCCATGCTGACTTTACTCAACATGGAGTTCCTGCTTGCAGCCATGTGGGCAGATACTTTAGTCCTTACTAGTTCTCAACATTTTAATGTGAACCCTCATAATTGTCGTAAAATGGTTTCTAAACATTGTGTATATATTGTAAAGCTATAAGCAAGACCGATTTTTTTTGTTGTTGTTTCAACATTCAGAACTCTCTTAACCCTCGTGTACGGGAATCTGTTGACTTCGAAACAGATTGTATCTTATCAAGAACTGATGCATCGGCTGCCACTCCGTATATTTTAGGCATTTGTTGTTTTCTGCCTCAATGGCATTTTAAAAACAGAAGCGCTGCTTCTTATTCACCTTTCTATTGTCGTGTTTCAACCAATGTTCTCCTCAAATCTACCTTTAAAAAAGGCTTTGGAATTGAAGTGTGACATCACTGAAACATAACACTTTACGGGATGAGGGCTCTGTGAAATTTTAGAGCAGCAGCAAAAATGTCTAGCAGTCTTTATCTGCTATAAATGAAGTCAGATTGTCATAAAAAAATATTTGTCCCCTTTGAGATTTCTGAGGGGGGCGTTTCATTTTTTAACATTTTTTTAAAGTTGACTGACATTACTAAGATTTCACAAAAATGTTGTTGATTCAACATTACGTCTGATTGCTTTTTCAGCAACAGGTTGCTTTTAAGTGGAGTTAGAGATGTGATTTTGTTTGTCCCTGGGTTATCTTAAGGTTTGTTCAATGATCTGAAACATTTTAATGGGACAAAAACAGGGGAGAGGGGAACAAAATACCATTCTGCACCGTGTGACGCTGACAGGCTTTCTATGTACTTACTGTACATAATACCAAGTGCTTTATCTCCCAAAACATCTCAGCTGTTACCGGTCTGTCCGTTCATCATCACTTCTGTGCCGTGCAGCATTCCTCCACTGGATCGTCTCTTCTCACGCTTTTTCAAACGCATCATCTTTCACTGCCAAAAACCAAACTCATCATGCTGTCTGTCCTCTTATGTTTACTCATGACTGAAATATGGAATATGGTTTCTGTTTCATTCCCTGACTTAATTGAAACCTCAAAGGATGCTGCGTCTGTGCAGAACGCACACACACATGCAGACACAACACGTTCACACACTTGTAAAGCATGAGGCACTGTTTTAAGTTTTCTTTCTTTATGAGTGATTTTTATGATGCATGTTGTGAAACTGTAACTCCAGTGCAGTAATATATTTTTAATGTTTGGTATCAGTTTATGTTTTAACCTGGTTTTAATGACAGTGACTGCTTCTTACTGGGTTTTGCTTATTTTTGTGTCTATTTATTCCAAATATCAGCAGAAGTGAAGTTTTGGATGTCCTGTTTGTACAGTTGGCCTGTTGCTTCACCATAGTGACACAGTGATGATGATCAAGTGTCCATTGTCTGAACCAGTGTGTGATGTAATGTAATGTTGTGACAGGAGTGGAGTTGGTTGGAGGAACCAGTATTACCTTTAGTTAACTCTAGTCAGACACTACATGTTTCACTTTGACTTTTGGAAATAAAGCATGCAATGCAAAGTAGTTCTGTTATTTGAGTCATCTCCTCAGAACGTGTTTGGATCTTTTGATTGCAAAAGATTCACACCAAGAATCTCTTCATTTCCTGGATAATGGCAGGATTCCCGTTGATAAGAAAACACTTCAAAACGTATCTGTGGCAAAAATGTAGACAAGAAAATATATGTGAAGATGTGCCGTAATTGTATTTAAATGTTTCTTTATTAATTATTTAGGAATTAGTATTTCCATGTCTGAATAAATGGTGTAGTACCCAAAGATATTTGCTTTTTCATGCCTAATCCATTTTCAAAATTACTTTGTCTTGATTTTTAGCTTGTTTTTATTTTCTAATTACATCACTGTGCATAACACTGATTGCGCTGGATTCATGGTAATAAGAGGGTTCATATAAATTTTATACAATCTGTTCAACATAACCCATTAGTGACTTCGTGCGCTGGAAATGACTAAATTTAATTTATTTAAAATCAGAATTCAAACTTATATTAAGTATCCATGTCCATTACTATTTATTTATTGCATATGTCTAAGGAGAATGTTAAAATTATTGGTCATTTTTAAAGAAAGCCAAATGCTAATTGTGAGGATAAATAATGTACAAAACCACTTATAAAAAAATATGACTTATTTTACTTATTCAATGGCACTTCAGTGGTTCCAGATAAGGTATCTATCCAATGGTGTCAAAACCTCAGTGAGTCAAATTTAGGACTTGTGAAAGTGAACTAAAAACTGACCCTGGTGTCGGTTTCCATATGAGTTGATGTTTGGTAATATGTTGCCAGTCCAGTTTTCATATTTTACTTTAAAGCCTTTGGCTGTATGCATTCCGCTCCTTTAATTACTCCTCAAGAGTTTAAAATAGTTCTGAAAGTGGTTAGAGATTACTGTTAAGGACAGCCTACCATTCAGATCGGTAAACTTTAAAGTGGAACGTTAGAAAATCTGGTAACTTCCAGTCTGAATCCAAACTTTGCTGCTTATTTACTGTTCTGCTCATTGGATTTCTTGACTTAGATTACCAGAAAATAAAACAATTTCAAATATAAGCTTTGGATGAGATTATAAAAATGAACACGATGTCTATTAAAATATGAATTAAAAGATTAAATGTCAGTTTGTGTCTTAACACTGCAGAGAGCCACTGACATGATTCAGGTTAGAAGAAAGTCAAACAAATAAAACTCATTTTGACATCTTGGACTTTGTGTTATGAGAAAATGCTGCCCTATCTCTAGTCCAGCGTATTTTGTTTTTGCTTTCATCGTGGACGATGATCTTCAGAACTGTCCCTGCAGCATTCCTCAGCCTTTCAACAAGCGTGGCATCGTCTGCAGGCTGCTGCATGTCGCATAAGTAGGACAAACGCTCAACGTCTGAGAGGTGAACAAACATTTACTGCTGGCATTGATTTTCAATTGAGCTTGGGTTGCAGGCACCATTGTCTTCAATTAACCCCCCCCAACAGAGTAAATCACACAAGATTTGACCTACGACCTTCTTCTAAGCATCTGTGACCTGGTGCTTTGCTGTTTTAACTGCCACCCCATAGCGAACACAAAGAAATGAAAAGACTGCATCAGATTAATTCTTCATTGAGGAAAAGAACAGACTCATAAAGTCGGATAACAAACCCATAATCTTTTATTGCACACAATTTCAAGTGCGATCATTTTACATTGTTCAGCTGGACATTTTTTTTGCAGGGTGTTTGGTAACTTAAAAACATCGGACATGTGTACGCAGAAAATCGATCGAGATATTAAAATGTGTAATTTTGACTCAATTCACTAGATCCTGGTTGTTTCACGTTTCTATTATTTTACACCTTTTAAATTCAAATAACATAATCCTTAGAGACACTGCTGAAAGGCCTGGAGAGAGGAAAGATTTGCTGTTTTTTCAAGTAGATTTCAAGTTAGTGTTTTTTATTTTTTTTTGGAATGTAGAATTTATATTTGAAAAATTACAATAACAACAGGCCGGAAGTCATTTGAATTCAATCTTTCCAATTCTCTGTGGGACATCATCTGCGCATGCTCAGTCCGTTCCCCTGTCCCCCAGCTTTAAACAAATGGTACTTAATTAATCACAGCATGCAGGTCTGTTGAGTGAAGTTTGTGTGCGTGTGTGTGTGTGTGGGGGGGGGGGGTGTGTGTGTGCGTGTGTTTCAGACAGGGTGCGGCCCCAGTCTTAGCACAGAAAAAGCCCTGCGGTGTTTGCGCAGCAGCAGTCGGATCTTGTCGTCGTCCGAGTCGGGGTCCAGAGGCTTGTTGTACTCCTCGTCCTCCACCTCGTTCTCCGAGGCCTCCCCGCCCTGTCCGGCGTGCGTGGCCTGCGTGGAGCTGGGCTCCGAGGCGCTCTTCTTCCTCCACTTGGTGCGTCGGTTCTGGAACCACACCTGACGCGCACACGCACACACACCCCCCCACGCACACACACACAGACTTGTTTTTCAGCAGAACAACACTCATCAATCTCATCCGCGAGATTTATGATTAAATAAACAGCAATGGCGATGACAAAAAGGCCTTTCAGCCTAAAGTCTTGCAGTTCATTGGAAAAAGAAGGGTTTGGATGCTGTCATTCTAAAACTGAGTTTTCCACTGATTTTGTGGGAATGTTTAGTTTACAGTGGCATTTTATTCAAATGTAAAATGCCACTTATGCCTCTTTTGAGAAGTAAACAAACTGGAATGAATCTATTCATCTAAGATATATTAATAACTTGGAACTACAAATAAACTGCAAATAAAACATAAAAAAATGTGTGAGTTTCCAGAGCTTTATTTGCGATTCTCACGAGTAAGTGCCACAAGATAAAAACTTTGTGATCACAAATTCTAGTACAGATTCAGTCCTCTATTAATGTTCTGCTGACCAGCCGCCATGACACCAAGCAGCAGAAAACTTGTTTGAGGCACAACAGCCACAATGTTTTTTTTTTCTCTCTACTGTAGCCCCTTGACAGAATAGCCGTCCTGGGCAGTGAGCCACAGCGCTCATATCCGAACCCATCACTGATCAGCAAATACGACGAATATACAAGACATTTTTAAAAGGAGTAAAAATGAGAATCTGAGTCGAAAGCTGGTTTTGATTATGATGTGTGGTGAAACTCACCTTAACTTGTGACTCAGTCATTCCTAGAGAATAAGCCAGTCTTGCCCTCTCTGGTCCGGCCAGGTACTTAGTCTGCTCGAAGGTTTTCTCCAGAGCAAATATCTGATGTCCACTAAATGTTGGTCTGGTGTGTTTCTTCCTGTTGGGCATTTCTCCGAGTGGACCACTGCCTAAAAATGTATAAAGCAAAAACAGAAAAGAAAAGAAAGAAACAAACAAACAAAAAAACAGTGCAGGTTTGGCTTCTTGTTTCAATAATTTGGACATTTTGTACCCAATTTAGAATTATTTTGAAAAAAATAATTTAATAATTTGGAATGTTAAAACTGACTGCCACAATTACATATTGGGAATTTCTAATATATAATTCACATCGCAATTTATTCCCTGATGTGACGGGAAAATGCTGAATATAAGCTCTAATCTAATGTAAAAGTACAAGGTAGTTTTCTTTCTTTCCAGATGTTTTGTTAAAACGGCGACGTTACAGCTAAACGTCTCATTTAAAACTAAATTCAAGTGAAGCATTATCGCATTCCTCTTGAATCTGACTGATCCTGCCAGCACAAGCCTGCTCTTGTTGTGACCCGGCAAGCTGCAGCATGTCTCTGTGCGCTGATGAGGTCGACGCTGAAACCCTCTGCAGACTCACCGCTGGTGCACTGCTGTCTCCCTCCTCTCCAGTCACAGCTGCTCTCCGCCCAGCAGCTCATACTGCGACCCTTCATGGGACACTCCGCCGTGCTTTTGGAGAAGCCCAGCGAGGGGTTGTAATCTCGGTTGTAGTACATGGACGTAGTGGTTACGGAGGGACCGAACCCCCCCATGGGGGAGTACCCAGACAGCAGCGTGGTGGTGCCGGTGGAGCCGACCCCCACCATGGATCGGCTCAGGATGTCGCTGATGCCGTGGGGAGTCCCCGGCTGCAGCTGGGTGTTAAGGCCCGGGTTGAGTTTGTAGAAGGAGTTGGGGACCGAGTACTGGCACACCGGCGCCTTAAGGTCTGAGGGGAACTGGTTCAGGCTGTTGTTGAAGAGGAAAGACCCCTGGATGTTCGGATCCATGGGAAGTTCTCCAAATCGTTTTCCCGCCCCCCCAGTGTCAGGAAAACATCCAGTAAGATCCAAGCCGGGGAGAGGCCTCTGGTGGCCCCCCGAGGAAAACGTCGACAGCCGCGAGCGGAGTCGAGGTTCTGGAGCACAGCGAGCTTCTTAAAGATTTAGTCCAAAAGCAACAGTCTTAACATGAACTCTTTCAAAGTCGCCTGAGAGTGCACCATGCAGCGCCCATCCTCAGTTTTGCATGGGTTAGCTCCATATCTGAGCCCTCTGGAAACAGACCTCAGCTGTGTCCTACAGATGCATGCCTCCTGCTGCCCGTCTCTTCAGAAATCATAGATACGCAGAATGTGGAAATGGAGTGGTTCCTTGATAAAGATGGCCCGCATTAGAATGCAGCCGGGGATTGGCCTGGGTCTCACTGCATTAATGCCCTTCCATTGGCTCCACGGTGAGGGCCGAACGTTTTATTGGACGGCAGCAGATTAATAGTTTTTTGAACAGATGGAGTGGGAACAAGTAGATTTTTTGATGGCCTGCCATGTCTGATCAAGTGTGATGGTGCGAGAGCAAGCAGCAGAGGGGGAGGAGAAGGAGGCAGGGTGCTCCCCTGGTTTGAATGAAAATGTTGTCATATACATTAAAAAGTGTGATGATAGATGTGCAACTCTTTTCAGTAGATTGCATACAGTCAATATAAATGTTGGAATTTCCAATGATGCGTTTGAACTTATGTATTTGAGAGGAAAATGGTTATGAAACAACTTCAAATGGTTTAAAAAACAAGAGTTGAGTCGACTATGCCCGTTCATAATGTAACTCCTGGAGTTTGAGTTTATTGTGGATTTTCTCCAATGCACACAGGCTTACAATTTTGCATGTCAACTCAAATATATTATTAAATTCTCCCCCCCAACTTTTTTTATTTTTTTTTAATCTATAAGCAGTTGCAGACTGCACACACTTTTTGTAATGATCAATGAACTTCTGACATCATTTTTGATTTGTCAGAAGCATATCTTCTTTCATTGATATCTGCTGTGCAACCCTGGCTAGTCCAGATGGACGCAGTAGTGGATTGGTGGTGGATGGCCATCGCATCCCAACACGGCTGTGACGTCAGCAAAAATGGGGTGGAGTCATTTTTTGGGCCCAAATCATGGGGAGAGAGAGAGAGATCTGGTCGGCCCCTTCAGAGACCCCAAAGGTGTGAAAATCACCTCATCAAAGAATATGGACTTTCTCACTGATCACTTTCTTTCAGGTTCAAAAAGAAGAGCTGTACCTTTAGTAGCAAAATCATCTTCATGCATGACAATCCGCCATCTCATGCTGCAAGGAATACCACTGTGTCAACGGCTGCTATGGGCATAAAAGTGGAGAAGCTCATGGTGTGGTCACCATCCTCCTCTGACCTCTGACCCTATTGAGAGAATCTTTGGAGTTTCCTGAAGCAGACGATCTGAGGGTGGGATGCAGTAGAAAGGTATTTTCACATCCTGCAAAGAAATTCAAGCAGAAACTTTCCACAAACTCACAAGTTCAATGGATTCAAGAATTGTGCAGGTGATATCAAAGAAGGGGTTGTATGTTAACATGTAACTCTGTCTGCTAAGATGTTTTTGATTGAAGTAGCTTTTGATTTTAGTACATGTGACCACATAATGCTGCACATTCAAGGAATGATCGTTTGCAGTTCTTTGTAATCCATAAAATGTTCAGAAAATCTGCTGTGCATAATAATGTGGAACAGTGCATTTTGACTTTTTCATTTTTGAAAAAAATTATGTTCTCATGATTTACTTTGTTCAGTAAAGTTTGATTTGTACTGTAATAGTTCATGACTTGAAAATTATACTGACCATAATTTGCATTGACCATTTAAGAAAATCTGAGAAAATATCACTTGCATAATAATTTGGAACACGGTGTAGACTGAGCAAGTTTCTGTGTTGCTACCAGAATGAAACAGACTGGGTCTGACTGGCATCGATTAGAGAGGCACAGTTATTTATTAAAGTAACAAAGTCCAAAACGGACGAAACAAAGGCAGCAGACCGTAGAAAATAACCCCAATGCTTGTCTTTGAAGGTCACTAAAGTTGTTTGTTTTGTTTCATAATGATGCCATTTTCTGTATTTCTTTTTTTTTTCTCCTTTTCATGAATATGTAAAAAATATTCAGACTTGTCCTAAAATGTGGTAATTCTGTGCGAGTAAGACGATTACCAAAATGTTATCTGCTGAAAACTTATAGTTGTGTAAGTTATTCCCTAACGGCCAGTGTCAGTGATTCAGTGAGTCAGATGGCAACATATGAATCACTGAATTATTCAAGACGATTCCGGTCAGTAGATTTGTCTTAACATAGAACGCGGCTGGTTCTGACCCGTGCTGCCTGACCCGTGCTGCCTGTGGTTTCCACACTTTCATCTGCCAAGGTTCTGGAAGCACGTCACCTGGAGACGTGTTTCCAGACAGCTGATGTGGGGCACACCATTCTGGATTCATATCCAGATGCCTAGTTGATAAGACATCTCTGGTCTGGATCAAACACACACAGGGGAACTATGAAGGAGATGCAGAAACTGGACTCACAGAGAGGAAGAGGCTCTGTGAGTAACATCCCAATATGTTTACACATGGACTGCATATGGGTCGCAAAACGGACTGGAAATCATAGATGGAGTCAGTGGCTGCATATTGGCCTCAAGTACATAAAAAAATAATCTTTTTGTTTGTTTGTTTTTGGAGAAGCCAGTTGATTGCCCTAAATAACTTGTAATATCTTTAACAAAAAAAAAAAAAAAAAAAAAAAAAAAAAAAAAAAAATATATATATATATATATATATATATATATATATATATATATATATATATATATATATATATAATAATAAACGGAGCCTGTACTGTACAGACACGTTGGAAAATTTAAATGTAGCAAATGTTCTGAATGTTACATGAAAAGTTGTGGAAGATTCTCCTCAGATTTCCAATTTTTCAAAGTTGGAAATAAAAAAAAAAAAAAAAAGGAAATTCTGAAGAAAATCCCACCAAAGTGGGCGGAGCCTAGAGACACGCCTGAGCGTGGGGATGTTAGAAGCGCTGTGACTTTTTATTTTCCTCTTTCAAAACAAGAACCAGTGATACATTTAGCGACGTGTTTCTGTGGCTGGAGACAGGCCACGGCTGCCGCGACCCTCTCCCACCTCCCCGGACAGACACCGTCCTCCTCTTGTCTCGCCGAGACCCTTTCCACGCGCGTCCACGTCGCCAATGAGTCACGCGGCCACAGAGAGGGTCACGCTCGGCTTGCTATTCCAAATCCTTTAGGCGGTTTTACACCCGGACGCCGGGCTGTTAGCAGAGGTTAAGGAGTCCAGCGTATTGTAGGTGAATCGTAGCCAAGCTAAACTAAATGTCAAAATTCAGAGAAAAAGATTTATGGCCCGTGCTTTCCAGGAGTTCAACAGTAGCTTTCAGTTTCAAAATGACTGGTGACCATAAAGCGAACGTGATCGTGTTTCCAGTAATTCAGTCACCTGCAATGTTATTGCAAACAGGTGCGATGCAGGAAGCGGCCTGCAGTTTGAGCAGCGAGACACACGGCTCTTCACCAGAGGAAAAACAGACACGCAGTAACTTTCCAGTGGTTCTCTCGCTCTGCATTTCCTGCGAAAGACAAACAGCACACGGCCAATCAGGAGCAGTCATGCATATTCCGACTTGACCAATAGATCTGAGTCAACCGCTCACTGAGGAAGAAGAAGATCACGTCTAAAATTATGACACAACTGTGTGGAGTCTGTTTCATACACACATCCCTGATGTTTAGTGGGGATTTTCCAACATGAGAGTTTCTATTCTATTCTATTCTATTCTATTCTATTCTATTCTATTCTATTTGTTTTTTGCCTTTTCTTTTTCTCACCAAAATAAGTCGCATCATCACATGACGATCTGAAACATTCTTAAGAAAGGTAGTTTTAATGTAACAAAACCTTTTATTAGTGGGAATTATTACTTTAATTTTACTATATAAAGCTCTGAAAAAATCTTGATATAACCTGTTTAAATGATATGAAGTAGGTTACAAGGGGGGTGAAAAAAGCAAAACATTGTATATTACATTGTATTTTTATGTTATATTATTATGTTATGTTGCATTGTTTCAGCTAAAAGAGGAACTTGGATTTTTGCACCTGTGAATAAATTTAAAATTGTCCTCAACATAAGTTAGAAGCAAATGGGAAACAATAGTTAAACATAATAGAAATTGGCAAAAATAAGAGAAGTCATGACCAGCACGTATATGGCAAAACGTTTAGTGTCATTTTTCAAACGTCCCAAAAGAAGTCACATGAGAAAGCGCTGGGTAAAATTCCAGTCTACCCTCCCTCTGTCCCGCCCTCTTCCTCTTTTCATTCATTCACTGAGTGGATGTTGTTGTTATCCAAGCCACGCGTGCGCTTGACTTTAAAGCAGGTCGGATCACCCACACTTGATCATAACCAAACCAAACACAGACGAGAGAGCGCAGTTCCCGTGTCGATGTACGAAAGACTGATCCTGCTCCAAGATGAGGAGAGAGGACCACAACAAGAAGACTGGTAAGATTTCTACAACTTTTCTTCATTTTATATTTGAATTGAAAATGCGTCTTTCAGGTTTTGAAAAAAAAAAATATTTAAGGATGTAAGATGCTCTTTGTTTATGAAAGTAGGGAAAAAGCTAAAATTACATGTCAGAAAAATATGTGTTTTCTAATAATAATAATAATACTAAAAAAATATCCTGTAACTTAAACTCTTAAAGTTGCAGAAAAATAAGAATGGCAGGGAAACTAAGCAGAAGCAACATAAGTTGGTTGTGAAACACATGATAAGAGAGTCATTAAGAAGACTTCAAACAACTGTGTCCATCCATAATGCAACTCCTGGAGTCATAAACCACGTATAGTGGGAAACATGATGTCAGATGGGAATGCTTTTTGACCAACATGCAGTGCATTGTAACCTACACCGGGGAATTTGTGGATGACTCACTGTAAGATCTGGGAGCGTTGTAAAAGACGCAGCTCATGTTTCTGAGAACACAAGGGAGAGACTAACTATAAGACATGTCCTGACAGGCACAGACTCCAGCAGGTTACGCCACACACCAGCACTATGCATGTTTTCAAAGCAAAAGTGAGCAATCCGACCGCTGTTTCCTCTGGTGGTAGTGTGATAAGAAAATGAAAGCAAACAAAAACACTTGAGGTCAAGTTTATGTCGGGATGTTCCGAGAATCCTGTCAGCGAGAAACGAGTTGAACCGCAGATTAGCCCATTATATTTAGTTTTAGATCACCTCTAGGTAGATTTACTCATAATTTCTTCTTCTTTGCTGACAAAGTCTTAAGCAACAGTCTGGCCTGCAACAGCAAAAATAGGAAACGGGGATGTGAAGTAAATGGGATTGTTCTGAATTAAACTTCTGGTTTATGAAGATCAGTTGTCACTTACTGTGAACTAAGAGCAATTATTAAATGGGAAGATTGCCAAACCATTCTTCTCAAAGTGAAACCACGCATGGCTGCTATTCTATAACGTATTTACAAATGTATCTGCAGCGAAACTAGTACAGTTCTGTCGACTATCCCTTGCAATCCATCGGGATTGGAGACATTTATGTTGACACTTTTACTGTCTACCTGTCAGGATGTTGTGTTAAACTACATGTTCTGGTTTTATAGTGCAACTCATGCTTTTGTGTAAATGTCATACACATAACCTGTTGATGTGGTCATACAGTTTTAATGGTGATTTTTTCCCCCGCAGACCCAAAGACGGCCCACAAATGCGACTCCTCTTGCCTCGGTCCCCTGACCTTCCATCCCAGGGCCGTGGGAGATCAGATCCGTCTGAGCGAGGGCGGCCGACGTGCCCAGAGAGCTGAAGACACTTTCAAAGGTGGTGTTGTTTTCACCAGCCGCCCTGTGAGGACCTACGAGAGGGTCCGGGTGCTGGTGGAGAAGCGCGAGCCACACTGGCAAGGAGCCCTGCGCGTGGGCTTCACCAACGTTTCGCCATTTACCATACCCTTGCCTCTGCCCCCGTTTTCTATGCCTGACCTCATCCAAACCCCGGGTCACTGGGCCGTCCCTGTGCGCGAGTCCTACTGTCAGGAAACATCGGTGCTGGAATTCTGGGTCACATATGACGGCAACATATGTGTGAAATTTGAAAACTCCAGGAAGAAAAGGCTCGGCGCAGCCGTGGATGTCAGAAAGCCTCTCTGGGCCATGATTGATGTCTACGGCCAGACGTGCTCCATCTTCCTTCTAGGTTATTTTAACACACCCACGTTTTGTTTGGCTAACAGCCTGATCTTCTTGTTCTTAGCAAAAGCTTTTGCATACACTAAAAATAGCAATAATTCTCTGAATTATCCCCTCCTGCAGGCTCAAAGACAAATAGTTTTCTTTCCAAGAAAACATCCTGCCCTGGACCTAAGCCTCCCATCAGGCGATCGTCATCTATCAGTTTTGAAAAGCCAATGCTGAGTGAAAACTCTGATGACAGGATGTCCTGCCTGAACATGGAAATCCCAGCAGGTTTGTTTTCTGCCAATGTCATTTGATGTTTTTCTTTCCCCCATGAAAGTGAACGACGGAGTCACCCGGATGCCTCATAATTGAATTTTGTCTCTCTCTTCTGCTCACAGATGACCACTGCGTGGTGTGCATGGTGTGGCAGGCCGACATCACGCTGCCCTGTGGTCACCGCTGCCTCTGCGATCACTGCAACCTCAGAGTCCTGATGGAGTTCGGTACCTGTCCGCTGTGTCGACTGGAGATCATCACTCCACCAGAGGTGTGGACGTGACCCTTTGGAGCAGGCTGATCGCTGAACCTGCTGCAGAAAGCATCGAATGCAAACTATTGACAGACTGTAACACTACGGACAGCAACCACTGAATGAGTCCTGGGACAGAAGCCAATAATTGGGGGATTTCTGAAGGAACAAAAAAATCCCTCAAGTGAAGTAAAACCAGGATTTTGAAATGAATAAACTTGAAAGTTGTGCAAGAGTAAAGGTTATGAGATGCTTCTAGTGTGAAGACACTTATTAATTGTTGCTAATGACTGTTTTTTTGTTTTTTTTAAATATGGTTTTGTTGTTTTTCTAAAGCACTTTCTTTTGTTATTTGAAAAGTCTTATTTAGTCTCATGATGTTATTTTTATGGTAAATATGATATTAACTTTGTAAGTATTTTTCAGGGACAAAATGTATATCATATAGAATGTATTTTTTTTTTGTATTGTCATTATTGCAAACTGTGGACAGGAAAATAAACCACAATACATTGCACAAATTTATACAATGGAATTCCTTCTTCAATTAAATGTCTGACAACAGTAAACATTTACATTTCCAAAAAGTTCTTTGAATATTACAGAAAACCTGCATCAAAATGGAGTTGCAGCACTGCTATGGAAGAGGTGACAGCGGATTTTAACACAGGAACTCGTCGCAGAAATGAGTGTCATGTGATATAATGTGGGCTGAAGGAGCAAAACTGATTAGTAAAGTTTATTTATACAGCGCTTCTCACAGACATAAAATCACAAGAGCACTGTACAATAAAAATCAACCTTAAAACCACACAAAGCATAAAATGCAACATGAGAAACATAGTAAAATCAAGAGATAAAAGCCTGGGAAAACAAAAAATGTGTCAACACTCAACACACAACAGCAGAGAGCAAGAAAGAGCTTAAGAAGACTAGAAAAATGTACATAAATGCGCTTCTAACAGAGTTGATGTTTGTCCAACAAACGAAGAGTATCATGGCGAGACTGAACTTTGACATAAAATATCGAACAAGAGTAGCAAGAAAAATTGTGATAAGTGCATTAAAACAGAGATGGCGCACAATAAAACACTTGATCAGATAATGAATTAAAGTGATAAAAACAAATAAATGAAACCCAAATTTATTTCAGCAGCTGCAATAAGTATAATAAGATGAATAGGTAAAGAAAAAAGGCAAGAAAATCTTAGAAAATCAGTTAAATGCACAAAAGATAAAGAAAAATTCGGATGATGTGTTAGCCTTTTCTGTAATAGTGCAACTGCAGCGAAGGTCTTTTGAAAGACTAGAGGATTATGCACTATGAAGCAGATTAGATTTTATTCTTAAATGAAAAATAAGAACATAGATTAGAGTAACTTTTGTATTTTACATTTTTGTATTTAAAAGATTAGTAAAAAAAAATTGAGGTTGAGGTTTTACTGTCTTGGACCAGACATACGGGTTTAGCAAAGTCCCTGCAGCGTGTCTGTCCTGATTGAAAGCAGGGGGCAGCCATCGGCCAGTTTCATTCTGACTTGTTTATGGTCCTGTTTCTCATATTTGATACACTGTAAAATATGTGTTGTCAATCCTGAAAAGTCAACGATTAACAAGGCGGGTTTAAATGATCCGAAAACGCAGACGAGGTGTTGGAGCTTGACACAGAGATGCTGCTGATACTACAGGAAATGAGCTGCATCAGCACTTAAAGGTGTGAGCAAGAATCATATTTAATCCAGAGCTTAATAATTCATTAACAATTGACTGGTTACAGATTCACCATTCTGAGAAAGAAGCTGAATTCACTTTCTGTTTGACACTCCAGTGTTGACAAATTCGGTGTTCATTACACAGGCGGCTGTATTACACTTTCCTTCACTGTTTAAATGTTTATTTTGTTTGCTGTTTCTTTCCATCATCTCATTTTGAATGGAGGTTTCACAAATTCAACCATCGTGCATAATTACTTTGCATTGATATTTCCCACTATGTGGGAAATGTCCCACAGTGTCACCACCTTTCACACTATTAGTTTTGCTAACTTTTTTGGCAAATTCTTTGTTTACTTCTTTTCACTTTTACGAAGAACAAACTGAAGATTTTTTTAAGCCTATTATAAGAAGAAAAAAAGTTTTAATGTCCACTCAAGAAGAGAAAGTTTTTAGTCTTTCAAATGTTTATGTGGTGAACACTTTCACAATTTTCACAAAAATATCACAAAGAATATATCAGACCACATATCCAACATTTTCTAAACTGTTCAGAGTAGCAGACATGTTCTTTTCCCGCCGTTTCTTTTCACATGCTCCCATCACCTCTCTGTGGTCCTTCCCGTCTTCAGACATTTTCTACTGAGTGTTGCTGAGCGGTTCATTTTGGTAGCGAGCTTCAAAAAACAACCAAGGCAAAGTCCACTTCACACACAAAAGGAAATTAGCCGTGAGTGCAAAATCAATTATGTGACAGTCTGCAGAGAAAACTCGGGAACACAGACCAGGGCTCAGCGCAATCTGACCTTGTTCTGTCTTTTGTCCTTGAGTTTTGTCTAGAAGCCACTTTTCCTCAGCATCTTCAGCTCCTTCAAACATTTTGTGCTCCATGATCACTACAGACCTCTCTTTCTTTGATTGTTATAAGTTTATGAATATGCATATATTCATTTGCATATTCATATTTATATGAACCCCATGAGTTATTTCATCAACAGATGGGGTGGCTATTTGTTTCTTGGAATGAGTTTATTTTACGGTTTATGGGAAAAAGTAGCTGCACTCCTAATGAAGGCCAAAACCTCAGGATTCATTTCTACACATTTATGCATCTGTTTATAGTAACGACATGGGCAAAGATGTCTATTGTCCTGACATGTACAAGAAACCATAAATTAGTCACATTCCTGCAATGTGTTTACAGTTTAACTGCCAAGGTATAGATTTATGTCATAGATGAAAAGTGTAAAATTTGCCTTAACCTTCCATCCTAAGGCTGTGGGGAACGAGATCCACCTGAGGGAAGCGTGTCGACACCGAAAGGAGCAATCATCCAAATTTGAATAACGACTAGTGGGGCTTTCTTCTTCAGCCGGGGCTATAAACTGCCTTAGATCATCTTTTTCAAAATATGATCAGGGTCACGGAAGCTATGTAATTGATTGCAATCTGTGACTGGATGAGTGTGGAAATGGTTTACTGCTTATTTCTTGGAAAGTGCTTCCACAAAAACATCCCCCTCATAAAGTCCAGTTTACTCATAAATGATATACCATTGATATACCATTTACGAGTATATCTACTTGTAAATGATATACCATTTACGAGTAGACATGGTGGACCCAAGTTATAGTGAGAAAATGAACATTAAAGGCAACATACTCTGACACTGGTAGCAACCGGCACTGAAATAATCCAACGAGAACTGAGACGAGGTGTGAAGGGAAATGATGCACAACAAGGAGCATCAGGGATCACGAGAAGCATCAAACACATGATACAATTCAAGCACTTATTCAATATTTAAAGTTTACAAAATTGTCTGAGAGGATTCAGTATGTATGCGTATGCGAGAGTATGCGTATGTATACACTTTAGTTCATTTAAGACTTGAAGATTTATGGGAAAAATGAATTTCTGAATTATATCTCCGTCCACTTGATGGCGGTAATGCACAAGAAGAAGAAGAGAACAGGAGACTCATCCACAATCCTTACAAAAGCTTTTCCTCTCTTTGAATTGAACAAGTATATTCTCTTTCATTTTATGTAACATTATATATAGTTGAACACTGACTAAAAAGACGAGTGCACAGTTTTTTTTTATCTCACTGTCTGAAGTTAAGTCAGACCAAATATCACTTGTCTTACATTACCTATAAATACCAACAATATTTCTATTAGCTAAATGTCAGAAAAATTAGCAAAAACTTTATTAGAAGTTTTATTTATTTATTTATTGGTTTATTGGTCATTGGTTGCCACAAACAAATAAAACAAAAACAAAGAAAAAAAATACAATCATCAAATTCCATCTTTTGTTCATTTGTTCATTTTCAGAGCAATCATCAAATAGGATGAAATATTTCATTAAGTATATTGGAGTCAAAGTTTGTTAAATTTATCATTAATTAATTAATCATTCATTAATGTTAATGATTTAATTATGGGTCCTGTTAAGTAAAATAAAATCATGGACCAATACAAAGAGAAATTTGCTTTGTTTCTATATATATATATATATATATATATATATAGATATATATATATATATATATATATATAATATATATATATATATATATATATATATATAATATATATATATATATATATATATATATATATATATATATATATATATATATATATATTATATATATATATATATATATATATATATATATATATATATATATATATATATATATATATATAACATATGTTTTAACATATTTAAAATTGCAGGCATATGTTTTATGCCTGCTAAAAGATTATTTTGGAAAGATGCTATTAATCTGACAAGCCTGGTCAGGACGTATATCCTGATTTATTGAATAAGACTGTCTGACGTTCACATGAAAGGTTTGGCTTTATTTTTAGCACTAGAAAAGAAAAGGCTTTCCAGTGATTGTGGGTACATCATCATCATCCCCTCCCAAACCCAGCTTTTCTTTGTCCCCACCAATTTGCAACACAAAGTTACACCCTTGCCATTCAGTTTTAGGAATAATTGTCTTTTAAGCTGTGTGATTTGGGTGAAACTCCCCAGGTTTCTTTCCTCAAGTCAACAATAGGTTTTGTGGAGTTCTGACTCATTCCTCCTGACAGAACTGGTGGAGCTGCCTCAGTTGCACACGCCTTTTCAGATCTACCCGCAACTTTTCAACATGATTGAGATCAAAGCTTTGCGATGGTCACGCCAAGACATTGACTTTGTTGTCTATAAGCCATTTCATAACCACTTTGGTTGCATGCTTAGCACCATTGTGAATTTGGAAGAAAGTTAGGAGGTCTTTGTGCCTGTGAGCAATTGCAAGCTGCAATCTGGCTTTTTGTGTTTCTTTTGAAGTAAACACTCCTTCCTTGCTGAGAGGCTTCCAGTCCATGTCGCTATAGGAAACGTTTCACTGTGGATAACGACTCTGTCTCATCAACATCAGCCAGCATCTTTACAAGGTCTTTGGTTTTGGTTCTGGTTTCAGTCTGCACGTTTTGGACCAGAACACGTCCAGAAAGCCTGCCTCCTTGCTAAACTTCATTTATTCCGACACATTTTTGCCATTAGTCTGTTGTACTGAAAAAAAAAATGACTGTGATTTATGCAATTTAATTGAGAAACCACTGAGGGGCAGTGTGGTGCCACTTAAGATCTGAATCTCCATTGCAAAACTGCGAAGCTAAATCAATTCTGATATTTTGGGCAGAATGCATTTAGTTTCCATGTTTTTCAGTAACTGATGACTGCTGCAGAGATGTCTTTCTGGTGTTTGAAAAATCTTTCAAAGCAAGGGCTTGTGCAATCCAAGACCACTCATAGAAACTCCCATGCTGTCTATATTTTTGGTCTAACATCTAACCAACATGGTAATTTATAACATTTTCACACTGTAGGCATCTATTGCATTCATCAACCGTCTCATAGAGCAGTGTTATTGGAGGTGTGGATGCACTTGCGAGCAGATGTGACCTTTGGTCTCTGATCCCAACGTCTGCTTGTTGTAAATTTACATTGGATTGCAGAGTGGAGCCGAATCAAGAAGGAATCCTCTAAGTGGCAATTCACAGAAAAGCTATGTAGACATTTTACTGTTACATTAACATTTTACTGGATTACACAGTTTTGAAAAAGCCTTTCTTCTACTACATGGACTCAGCTGTCGTGGTTTCCTTTCGTAGGGTAAGTAAGAACCTGTACCAGAGCAAGCGCTGGAAATAGTGACACAGCTTTTATAGGGCTTCAAAGGGAAAGTACAGAACGACAGATTACCGGCTCAACTCAGCCATCTGACTCTTCTAGAACCACGGATCTCAAACTGAGGTACAAGTGTGGCTACGTTCATCTCTGGCAGCCTTGAGAGCTACCGAGGAGAAATTTTGCTGTTACCACTTACAATGTAAACAGAGGGAATTTTCCACTGTAAGCTGAACCATTGCGTAAATGCTGAAAAGCAAAAAGTTTCATTTTTCAAGCACACTGACCTTTGGAACGGTGCAAGTGCAGAGCAAAACATTTTACGGTCGTCCACTGGGAGTGGACGACCGTGAACCAGAACGCAGTGCTGTTCTGGTCACACTGCTTCCAGTTCACTTCTGCAACAAGAATTTGGATCTGGAAGTGATGACTTTATGACCTGTCATTCTCAGTGATAATGCTGCATAGTGTGAACAGTGATGTGTTTCTCTGGACCGGATATTTCTTATTATTGTAATATTGAAAGTATAAAAGAAGGAGGTCCTATGAACTTATTTAATATGATCAAACATAGCGCCAACATTCTTTACTTTTCTGAGAGAGTGCAGAAAGCATGCTAAGCAGTTTTTAAAACTCTCCACTTTAGAAACCTTGTTTTGAAATCTATATGCCCCCCAAAATACCCTAAAATAAAAAAACCCCCTCCAGATTAATGTTGTCAGGTAATTAATGTTAGTTAATTAATTAATTAGTGCTAATCAGTGTTGATTGTTGTTGTTAATGTTGCCCCATATCAATGTTTCATCACGGAGATGTCAGTTAAACATGTTGCTGCTAGACTTTGAGATCTGAATCGGAGAAAAGGAAATATTTTTTTTCAGAGTTCAGTTTTGACAAAATTTCACAGTGTGGTGAATAGAAACATGTAGTATGTTCATTTTTTCTATAATGAAACACTACGAAATGGAAACGCTAAATGGGTTGATTCAGCATCAGAAGAAGCTCCAGGACCTGGCAACGTCCTGACCTGACGCCGACTGGGATCCTGTTGAAAAATAACGTTCAGACACCATTTTGAAAAGGAAAAGAAACAGACTTTTTTAATTTGCCCAAGAGGCTTGCAGCTGTAATTTCACAAAAAAAATTATTGCTCAGGCGGCTATTTACAAAAACATGCCCCTGTTTTGTGTGTCCTGTTGTAGAGCTAGAGGTGAGAGACGGAAGATCGCACAGCCGGAAGACGATGGAAGACGATAACAATAAGAGACATGGTATGATAACTACAACGTATCTTAATGGGAAATTTGGTACGGATGTTAATTTCAGTGCAATGAGAGAAAACCCTGAAACTAAAAACAAATATCAAATGTTGTTTTTTAAAGCATTTGTATTTTAAAAATCATTTTTGCAATAAAAATGTCTTTAAAAAGTTTTTTTTAAAGCAGCAAAGTAGCATATCTTTTTGATGTGTTTGCTTCATTAATATGCAAATTATGCTCAATCTTGTCATGATATTCTTTTTTTCACAGACAAAAAACCTAGTTCTTTAAATATATATTGGCGGTTTATTAAGAAATATTTATGAATTCACTTCCTATTAAATGTTTTATGAAAAAGATTTTTACATGACCAGGACTTAAAAATTGGCAATGTAATTGTTATGATCAAAGTTGATGAAAGCATGGGGAAAAAAATTAGTCCAAAATTAAGAAAAATAACATCAGAGATCAGTAGTCTCTTGACTGAAGTATCAAACTTGATGAAGATTTCTATAAAAGAAACGCCAAACCTTTCAATAAGAATCCCGATATGTTTATGGTGGAGATCATCTATGGTGGAGCTTCCTTGAAGGTTGTAAAGGTGCTTTACTTCCCCTGCAGACCCAAAGACGACCCACATTTGCGACCTGCAATGCCTCGGCCCCCTGACCTTCCATCCTAAGACGATGGGTCACAAGATCCGTCTGAGCGAGGGCGGCCGACGTGCCCAGAGAGCTGAAGACACTTTCAAAGGTGGTGTTGTTTTCACCAGCCGCCCTGTGAGGACCTACGAGAGGGTCCGGGTGCTGGTGGAGAAGCGTGTGCCACACTGGCAAGGAGCCCTGCGCGTGGGCTTCACCAACGTTCCGCCATTTACCAGACCCTTGCCTCTGCCTCCCTTTGCCGTGCCCAACCTCACCCAAACCTCGGGCCACTGGGCCGTCCCTGTGCACGAGTCCTACTGTCAGGAAGGTTCAGTGCTGGAATTCTGGGTCTCTAATGATGGCTACATATATTACAAGAACAACAATGGCAATAAGCAAAAGCTACAAGAGGAAGTGGGCGTCAGAAATCCTCTCTGGGCCATGATTGATGTCTACGGTCAGACGTGCTCCATCTTCCTTCTAGGTAATTTTAACACACCCACGTTTTGACTGATCTTCTTGTTCTTCGCTGACAAAGCCTTCAGCATATGCTAAAAATGTCTGATTGATTCTCTGCCGCAGGCTCAGAGAAAAAGGATTTGCTTTTCAAAAGAACATCTTGTCCTGCACTTGAACCTCTCGTCAGACGGCCCTCCGGTCTCAAACCCGATTCTACGACACGCAGGGAAAAATCTGATGACTGTATCTCCTGCCGAAGTATGGAAAACCCAGCAGGTTTTGAATTTTGTTTAACTCATGAAAGGCAAGGATGGAGAAATTCTGACATGTTGCAACTTTAACGTCTCTCCTGTGTTGGCAGACGAGCGCTGTGTGGTGTGTATGACGCGAGAGGCTGACATCACGCTGCCCTGTGGCCACCGCTGCCTCTGCCTCCGCTGCACCTCCAGAGTCCTGGTGCACTTTGGCACCTGTCCACTGTGTCGAATGAAGATTGACACTGGAGCGACGTTTGAAGGCAGCACGGTCTCCAACGCTGGACACAGCTAGCACCAAACTGAATCTGCTGAGACTGCATTTTGACTGCAACCAGGAAAAGAACATCACAAACTTTTGACCTTTTGACTGCGGAGCATACAATTTCAAGAGAATGTATGAAGATGCAAAAATATAAAAAATTCAGAAAGGTTTTTTATAAATAATACTTAAACATGACATCACACAAGATGGAAAATTCTGACATTTTTTTATTGTTTATTAATTTTAAATTGAGAATTAAAAAATAAAATTTTTATGCTGTATTTTAAAAAAGTACAACGTGAAACGGGTGTTGATTTCCTTATGAGAAGTCTTACAAGGCCAGTGAGCCTCCATCTACAAGTAGTGCATCTGCTCCTTGCTGATGACCCCATTCCATTATTCCTCTGCACATTAATACATTGAACACGCAAACAAGAAAACTTAATACACCTTAATAATCCAGTCAGCATTAATTTATTGAAATTTTTATTTTAAAATGAAAAGAGCCAATCCTTCCAGCCTAAATCTGCTAAAAGTTGAGTGAAACTGCAGGAGCCATGGTAGCATAAATTAAATAGATACTATATAAAATAAACTGGGTTGAGTTACATTATGGATATTAGCACTTCTAGTTTATCCTGACTGCTGGTTTGCTGTGAATCTTTTTTTATCAAAATGATAAAAAGCCAGTACTTTATCATTTATGTAGAGTTTTATTAGTGTCAGAGGACCGCAAAGTGCTTCACTGTACATTCAGTCATTCATCAATTCTAAAAGCCTCTGGCCCTGCAATTCATTTTGAAACCACTGAGAGGCAGTGTGAGCATGTCCTTACATGATATTTTTGGCAAGTTGCATTGTGTTTCCATGTTCTTTTTTTATTTTTTTATTTTCAGAAACTGCCTCTTGTCACAGAGAAAACATTTTGTCATTTTTTCCCCCCCAGAATCCCAGATTTCAATGTAAGTTTCGTGCAGCTTAACAAGAACGAAGTATCCAGGAAACTGACATTTTTTCTCTCTCCATGGGAGTTTACTACTCATCTGAACGGTCCAGTCAGAGCAGCTTATGTTCAGAGCCGAGTAGTTGGACGTGTGGATAAGCTCCAGAGGAATGGACAGAGGCGTGACCTTTGATCCCTGATCACACAGTCTACCTGTTAAATATTTATCTTGGATTGCGGAGTGAAGGAATCCTTGGAGTGGGATTTACCAGATAAACTACTCAGACATTGAACAGACACTTCACATTTGCACAGATAAGCAGCTAAATCACTCGATAGCATTTAAGAAGACGTTTCTCACTCTACCTTTTTGACTGTTCCGTTTTCTTCTCACTGAGGGTAAGTGGAGACTTGCACTTGAAATAAGACAAAATTCACTTGCAAGTAACTTGGTGTAGGAGTTTCTTTTAAGTCAATGATTCCTTAATATCGATGGCAAAGTTTGAGTTATGAGTGAAATGGTCTGCCAGTGGAAGAAGGCATGTTTCCATTTTGTAACTTCCCCATATTACAACTAACAACATGGGAAAAAGTTCTGTTTCACTGGCAGATTATTTCACGTACTTTATCTTCGACATGAAGGAGCCACTGACTAACACTTGGCTCCTATTTCTAGTTGAAAAGTTACTTGTAAGTGAACTTCATCTTATTTTAAGTGCACCGACATACTTGTGCTAGAAACTGAACCGGCAATTCTCTGTAAGATTTTGTGTGTTTGCAGCGAGCGCTCCCCCTTCGCGATGACGTACGACGTGTGTGTCATTCAGTCCCGTTTGTTAGGACGGCCGTCGAAACGGGCTCCCTCTCTCAGCAGCGTGTGAAACACCGGAGGGTGGTTCCAGTGCGGCCTGTGCCTGGATGGGAGTCTCTATTACTTCCAGCTGTGGATGGAAACTATTACTGAGCAGCTTCTCCCCGATGAGCTTTAAAGTACAAGCTCACACACGATAAACACAGGCCCGTGTTCTTGTATGTGTGCTTGCCCACGGACAGCCAGTCAGACATTCAGACATCCAGAGGCCGGGCTGAATCATTCAGCAGAGATAAAAGCCAACCCCGTTGTCCTCAAAAAGAGAGAAAGAAAGAAAAAAAAAACAAGAGGGAGGGCGAAAAAAGGGAGAGAGGAGTGGTGGTTGTGAAGTTCACTCCTTCCTTTTCATTCACTTCCTCTCTCGTCTGCAGAGCTGTGGAGACATCGCTGTGCAGCCGGCACTCGTCTGTGAGTACTGCACATCTCCTACCAAGATCAGGCTGACAGGGAGAAAATCGCATGGGGGTTCTTGATTTCCAAACCTTTTTCATTTTAAAACCGATCTGAAATCCTTTTGGCTGATGTCAGTTCTGAGTGAAAAAGTGGCTCGTCGCATGGCTACTGTTGGGTTGTTGATGTTGTTGTTGAGATGTTTCCTCGGTTATCTTCACAATGTTGTTGGGCAACTTTTTAGCAATCATGTGTCATGTGAGGCAGACAGTGCCACATTCACACCTTCAGCTCAGAGGCAGGTTATCAGCAGATCTTTGTCTGAAAGCTACCTCCTGTTTTAGGTCGGACTTGTTACAAATGTGTCCAAGTTACAGTTTCATACAGAAAAATGAAAATAAAAACAAAACAAAATGACAGGCATCAACCACAGAGGAATTTGTACATTTTTAATGATTATGATCCAAGACTGCTGTCAAAAACATCCATCAGTGCTTAGAGTTGTGCATTATAGCAAGAGGTTCCTATCTTTTCTGTACATTTTGATTTAAATCTACCTGTGCACGTCTCTATGTAGACGTATCTGCAGTTGGTGATATTGTCATTGATTTCTTGCAATCTTTCTTGTCTCGGGGAACCTGGTGGTACAAATAACAAGAAACAAAAAACTAAACAAAACAAAACAAAACAAAAAAAGCCCTGGGACATAATCATCAAGTGATGGTTTCGATGACGTAACCAGTTTGTGTCATGGTTTGTTTGCTCACTGGAATCTGTTATTCCTTTTAATGAGGCTCGGCAGGAGGGCACTGCTGGCACCGTGTGTTATGGGAGCAGCATTTGGGTCTTTACGGTGCAGCAATGGCCTGCAGGAATCCATCCCTCACCATGAAGCGCCAGATTCAGCGCCGGGTTCCTTCCTGCCTCACTTGTTGTTGTGTTTTCCAAGTAAAAGAAAAAACAAAAACAGAGCTGGAAAAGAGGAGCTCGTTCTTGTATTTGTTTTGCCAACCGAACGCCAAATCTCCCAGTGTCCTCCTGCGTGATTGCCTCATTAAGCTGCAGGGTGACAGGCTGTCAGATGTGATGACTGTGGGGTGAAAGTCTGCTCCAGCAGGACGCACATTATGAAGTGAGCTCCCCTTCTGGGAGCCTTCATTACCCAGCATGCCCATCATGTTCCCGAGCTAAAGTGTTTGGCAAAAACAACCCCACGAGGCGAAAGGCCCAGTAAATGGATATCTGCCCCCAGGCTTTGCCCAGCCGAGCCACCGCACTAAATTATTGACAGGGCTGAATGCTTTGGTTTCAGCATAAAGCCGGGCAGCACGACGACGGCAAAACAAATAGATTACTCATTAAAGATGCTATCTTCAGGTGTATTGTGTTCCACTGACAATAAAAACACAGTTTGGGAGTAGAGCATGAATTCCTTCAACAGGACGTCACAAAAATATGCCACTTTTTTTTTTTTTGTGGCACTGACTTCAGTCTGATCTCATGCAGCTTTGGCTCAAACAACTTCTGTCTTTTTGACCTCAAAGTGACGGGATTTCTGTTCTGATGGTGTGCAGGCTGCATAAAAATGGGGCTCAATGATGAAGTCCGATGATGAAGTCTGGTCATTTCGTTACAATCACGTACTCTTCCCAAATAGCCATCACCTGTTTTATTACTACCAAAATATCTGGAAGTCCATGAAATGATCTCACGCTTAGCAGGTAGCGTTAAACCGGGTAATTGACACGATGGCAGATTCATCAGGATTTCTGCCAGCACAGGCAGTTTTTGCACACATTTCTTAATTTTTTAGGGAAAATTTTGTCAAATGCAAAATTTTAGGTTCAAATCAAAGAGTGATTTAATAGCTACATTATTTTCTTTCGTTTTTGTTTCATTTTAAGAAGGAACACAAAGATTCAGTAGCCTTTACCCAACAACAAACTCAGGGACACAGATTGATGAAATCTGACTAATAACACTTGAAACACATTAACAGAAAGGCTGACCCAAATCTGGTTGTTGTTGCTTAGAACAAACAAATAAAAAGGTATTTCTAGACCAAGAAAATGAGAATCTAAACCCCTCCTTTCATGATTTGGGTCGGCCAAAAACTCAGAAGGTTCTCAAAAAAATCTGAATATTTTCAGTGAAACATACCATGGAGAGTTTACAACTAAACATTCACAGCAAAATAATTTTTGCATTTGTAACTAAAAGAAAAAAAACTTGTGGCTGGGTAGTAGTTCTCAACATTCCCATGTAGTAAATACGTTGACGCCGCTAATTGTTAAAGGTTCTTCCCCCGTTTCAAATGCTCACAATCTGACCTGATTGAGGGTGAGGATGTGTTGCACAGCCGGCTGCAGAGACACGGCCAAGGCAAGTCAAAAAGAGAGATTTTGAGCTTTGTCTTCATTGGCAAGAGCTGTAGGCAAACTGGAAATCCTGGTTTTTTTATTTGTACAGGAACAGCCCTGTACAACAAACAGGCTGTTGTTGGCGATGACAATCGGTGATGAGCCCTGAAATTTGACTGACTTATCTGTGAGCAGAACACATCTCTTGATTTGAATAATTTGCCTTCACCAGGGCAAACATCCATCAGGCTCCGAGCTGTTTTCCCAACATTGGCATACAAAATTACAGCTGCGTGCGTGTGTGTGTGTGTGTGTGTGTGTGGGGTGTGTGTGTGTGTGTGTGTGCGTGCACGTGCGTGATCATGGGAAACCACTCCGTAGGACTTGTGCTGTCAGTGCTTGACTATGTGGGATAGAGTAATCACCTTGAAACACTCCCAGAGCTGCAGCAGGAACAGAAGAGGCTCTTTTCCCTCCTATCAAGCCTTTGGCCAGGCAGGGATCTGGTCTTTACCCACTCACACACACACACACATACACACACACACCGACACACACATCTATACAACAAAAGCCATGTCTACAAAAGGAGAGCGAGGCATGAGGGAGATAAAGTTAGGACAGGACATCAGGGAGTCACGGATTGGGG